TGTATTAGAGAAATTTTCTTTTCCAATTGTGACGATATTCCAAGTTGCACGTTGGAATGAGATACAAAATAAAAACAGTTTCATTTGATGTACATACATTTAATGACAGTTTCCTTCTGAGCACAAAAAGGAACACATACTGAGGTCGATGCAAAATGATAATGACGATTATAGTGACATTTACAAAATTCGAAATGCACTTTTTAATCAGGCCATCCTTTATACAGATTAGTGTTAAATGCTTAAACAATGACATGCCTTAATTCATATCGTTTGTCAACTAACGAACGTGCAATAGTGTCAGCTTGCATACAACACAGATTAAATGGAAAATTTACACGTGATTGTTACACGTTTTATATCAATCACTCGTCGATATTAGGCTGCCATAAAATTATCAATCGATTACGTGATCTCGTTTTTCATTATGAAACAATCGAGTCGATTTACACAAAACGGTATAAATAAATAAATGCTTACGTTTAACAAGTCGATGGGAAAAAGTTTACATTACATTACTTACAGCCATCTATATTTCGTTTGATTTTTATGTTAAACATTACTATTTGCTCCATCAATGGTGATGCATTTAGTTGTATTTACAGTTTGGTAATGTAACGAACCATATGTTCGTAGATTGATAAAAAAATAATCAATTTTACATTTGTCACAGAATGTAATGTAAACTTTTGCAGTAAACTAGTTTCTGTTAAACATTAATGTACATACTATGTTTCAAGTTTACACTTCAGGCCCACGTTAACGAAACATGTAAATGATACGTTCGTAACTCATCACGGAAGGAAAGGGCTAACGATTAAATATTTTAAAAAAGTATACGAAAGAAAAGATACATGACATGATCACTCGTTAAATTTACTAGCAGCCATACAATATTAGCACGTTAATATTAATATATTATTTATTAATGACGCCGCCTAGTTCATGTCTTGTTTTTTAAAATGTTTTACCGGCTTTTCATCGAATACAACAAAAACGAATATGAAAAAAATACTATAGGTAAAAAATATACTTGCGTACGTTTGTATACGCACGTTTAATTCGTAAAGAAATTATTGGCCCCTTTTCTGTAATTTGCTAAGTCCCCTATAAACAATGCTTATCAAAAGTTGAACGCAATATATATTCGGAACTGTACGAACATGGGCATTCTGTAGATATTTCTATTGTCAGAGATTTCTATAATTTTGAATGGAAGTACCATATTCCAAAGTTTTCAATGTGTCTTAAGTAGGAAAGACAATCTTACGCTTTATCCTTCGTACGCGCTCAAGGCTTCTCGCAATTTATCTACTATTTTCTGATAAAATGTGATTTGTTCTGTGAGGTGTGTTTTCATCGCTTGAGTCAAATGGATTTCCTGTTCTGTTTGGAAATGCGTTTCTTCGGCCAGGAGAGCACGCGCTATCACGTCCGTTCGTTGCGACAATTCCCGCAATTGCTGCGGTTCCATTTTATGCTCGCTTACGAGCTTTTCGTAATCTCTCCGTTTCTGCACAGCACTCTTAAGAGGAAAGAAAGGAAGATGCGTTAACAAACAATTTTTATGAAAACCATGCTGATTTCTAAAGCAAAGTTACCTTGTGTATACTGATTACGTCGGGGAAGCTACTAATAATTCCTCTATAGATGTGAAATTTATCAGAGAGAGGTTCCCAATCAAACTTTGGTTGTTCCTCGTAGAATTTGCCAATTTCGTTGTAAGCATCCCCCGTTACTTTCAACGCGCGGGTCAATCTTCCTCGGCTGATATCGTCGCCCTCTAAAGCGTGACCTAACGCAGTGAAACTCTGACCAATTTTCTGGAACTCTCTCTTATAGAGGACCTGACACTTTTTCGTTTGGTCAATGGCCATGGCCATAAAATTCTTAACTACCGGGTCCAGTCCGGTTATAAATTTACTGAAAGCATCCGTTTGTATCTCGACCTTTATGGTGTCCAACGTACTGTCGGGACACTGAATAGCATTAAAATAATTTACACCCAACAATTCGTCCTTCTCTGCCTGTCTCTTGCCAGGTTTCCATCTCTTCTCATCCGTGCACGTTATAAAATGTTCCCATACGCGACTACACGCCAACACAGGATGCCTACAGACATAATCGACAAATTCTTGCAATTGTGTGCGCCTATGCTCGATAAATTGTTCCTCGTATCTACCCGATATTTGTTTATCCGGCAATGGTGGAATTGGAATGAAACAATACTTTTCTTCTAATCGTCCGTGCAGCCAATCAAAGTGTTTGTACCTTCTCGACACTTGAATATTATTAAACTGCAACAGTATCGTGTTAAGTCTTACTGTTAATAAAAAATAAAATTGAACGAGATAATAAGTATCGGTTGATTACCGTTGGTGTAAGCTGGTAGACAATAAAACTCTTAAGACCTTTCAATTTTGACTCTTTTTTGGGAGATGTAACAACACAGCTATAAGGATCCCTACTTGGTACCCATTTATATCGTCCTCCTTCAATTTCCTCAATATATAATTTCTCACTTTCAGGAACACTTGCTACCCTTACTCCTAATAAAAAATTATCTTCTCCAGACTTTATTAATGTAGAAAACTTGTTGTTTCTCTTTGGTACGCTAGGTATGGGCCTTTCAGGTATCACAGAATGTATAGTTTGCATTGAATCTCCATAATCCACGCTATGGTGTTGTTGCAATTGTATCATGTTTTGTTGCTGCTGCTGTTGCGAAGGAACATACGCTTGTGTCTGACCAATCTCTGAGTCATCGTCCCAGTCATCATCCCAGTAATCTCCAGAACTTTGTTGGGACGCTGTCATGGCATCTAGCATAAATGAATGTTTGAAATGTGAAAATTTTACATGAAATTTATCCAACATTAGACTTGTCTTAACTGAGAAAATTTACTTGGCGCAGACGCTGTCGTATCAACAATTTGTACATATGCAACTGGAAACAATCCAGACTTTCCATTTTGATTAAATCCTTCGCACCATCCATCACCCACATTATCTCTCATCACGGTCAACACTTCTCCTGCTATTATCGATAACTCTGCGGTTCCCGGCTCTCCCGTGAAATCGTACAACGCTCTTACCTGGAAGAAACATATCGGTTATGAGAATCACGAAAACAGAGCAAAAGTTATCTTTGCCTGCATCATAAAAGAGTGAGTCATTACGCGAAAGAGTTGTAATCGAATGGGAAACGCGATACGTGGGTACGACATTTGTTTTTCTGGAAAAAATTCACATACCTGCTGGCCCTCCATTCTAAGTACATTAACTGATTTGCAATTCTGTGTCCGCAATCGCGTGTCGCGACAATTTTTTCGTCTCTGTTCTTTCAAATTGTTTGATTGCACCCGGTCACATACCTACACCGATCCGCTTATTCGTATGACTGACATTTATGTATTTGCACTTTAACGTGTGTGCGATTCTATGCCACATAAATGAAAAATTTAAAAGACTGTACCGCACTACCACTGGTGCTCGCGGGATGTACCACGCTTTCATGACTCCGAGACGGCGTACTTGTTACACGCGAGACATGTTCGTATCGGAATTGAAGAGGAAATTCTATACGAACAACGACAGGTATATTTCGATAGAACACAGGAGGGATAGGAAAAAATGTGAAAAATTGCTTTACGCTCGGAGACGCGTATACTCCGTATACTGGGCGCGCGAGATTATGCTACGGCATTGGACGGATACGCCTCTAATAGAGACTGTAGATTATATCAAACTTTTTTTGAGACTGTACTACTGTCCAACTATCACGGAGTAAGAAAATGTATCACGTGTGGAATAAAGGAAAATAAAATGATTCGAACTTGTACATTTCCATATATTTATAATTAATAATTGTTTTATCAAATTTTAATGTCGTATTGGTACAAATCTTTAAATTATAATTAATTAATGAGAAGACTTTGCTTCCTTGGCATTTTGCAGGCTCTGGGTAATGTACAATTTCGCTAAACTCTGAGAGCAAAACTGTGAAATGTGCTCGCTGTATGTATTAATCTGTCCAGCTACGATCATTGGATTAAGTCTGGGTGGAACAGGCAGTGGTCTTATTAGTTTATTAATATCATCGTCGGGTAATGGTGGCTCATCTTTTGCCGCTCTGGCAGCATTTTCTTGAGCTCTCTTGGCCAAGAGCCTGTTCTTTTCCTGTTGATGCCGGACAACCAATTGTTGATATCTATTGAACTTTATAGCTTCCTGGTTCAATTCATCCACGCGATCCATTAAACATCTCAATTGATTCTCCAAGACTGTAGCTGTTCCTAGATCCAAGTACTTGGTTCCTTCCTCCTCTGGAACCATTTCCTCCAATTCAGACATCATTATATTGGTCAGGTTGCTGTTTTTGATTACAACTGGGATCTCAATGAATAAAGTTTCATAGCCAATCTTTAAAGTACGCAATGCTTCTGGTGTAAATTCTCCTTCCTTGTACATCTGAATAGCTTGCGGGGTAAGCCTGTATGCTTTCAATGTAAGAAAACCTCTGGCCGACTTGGCCGTATCGTATATAAGCACTACCGATTCTTCGATGGAAGTTTGATAATGATACTGTGACTCCAACAGAGATACGTTTAGGAAATTGCCAACGTCTGCACTTTGATACCATCCAACGTGGAAATGATCAACGTTTACCCTGAAAATAAATAGATCAAACTGTTTAGTACTCGTTTCCGTTTTAACACCGATTGTATCGATGTATCTTACCATCGAAGACGACGCATCATGGCAAGCTGATATTCCTCTTCGTCCATGATCTCGTCATTTTTCGGGAAAGGGAAGCAATTCGTTATTTCAAGACGATTTTGAACGACTAAACCGAGGAGAGCACCTTGGGCAACATCCATATTACTCATCGACTCCTCATGACAATGCTTGACCATTTTCATTACTACCAATCCGTCACATTGCACATAGTCTATTCTAGGTTCTACCTCGGGTATTCTCCTAGTTTGCGTTCTCGGATTCATTTTAAATTAATATCGGTTCAATGTAAGTTTTCTTAACGTACGATATCGACCACGCTTCTACTGTCCAGCTGTCTAGTCAACCGATGTTGAAATTTTAATAATGATGGTAGATCCAAAATCCGAATTATCCGGTCTGATCGTGTACGCCTTCTATGTGTGAAACGCGTGAAACGTGTACACGTACTAAACAATGACACGAAGAATATGGACATTTATAAGTCCCCGTCATTTGTTACATGTATGTAGCTTGCTTGCTACACATCATTATTAGTAGTAAAACAATATTCTTTTTAATAAGGATATTTTTTTATATGGGATTCATGTTCAACAATAATCACGATGTGTAATGTGTAATACAACTGTACAATATTAGGATACGAGTTGTACTACTGATATAAATGTACCCCGTGGCATATTTTCACCGCGTAAATGTGAAAGAATTTCCAATTTCTAACCTACATAACCGGCTCTCAGTGTACACAATCCGTTATAAAATTAACCATTCGATACGATGAATAAGATAGACGAAAGAATTATAGAATGGATCGAATTAATACAAATGGAAAAATTAAACATTGTAACAGAAGATATTCAGGTATTTGCAAATTTCTTCTCGTCAGATTTTGTTATTTATTTCTTCTTTGAGATTCAAGTTTATTAGGAGTGTTCATAAATGAATTTTGTATTTTAGGTAAATAAAGTCAAAAATAAGAATCCAACGATCAACAAACAAATTTTCAAGTTATTGTTATATTTATGTCGTACTGCAGACAAGTGTGACAAACAGAAGCATACAGTAGGGAGAGAGATTTATGAATTGACTTGTACACTGTGCTCAATTCTGAATGATATACCTGATGCTAATAAGTTTGTCTGCAGCCTGTTTCATATAATTCGTTGTTTATTAGCAATGGATCTGTTTGATGAAGCATATGAAGTGTGTCTTCACTTAAAATCAGTAACATTCTCCTCTGATGAAAATGTTAATAAGGTATTAGTGAAGATTGTTTATTTATGGTACGATGCAATTAATATTGAATCCTCCATTCTGAAAAACAACCCATCAGATGACTCGCATTATTTACGAATGAAGAATATCATAAAATATGGATTGGAGATAATAAAGATTGTACACAACAATCCTACACAGCATTTGCTTAAAAACATCGCTTTGTATCTAAATAAAGTTGCATCTATCTGTAGAGAACAGAACACATATTTTTCTGATTTTTCTGCATACATCGCGGAATATTTGGATCGAACAAAAATTGTCTTAAGCGATGATACAAAGTATACCATAATTCGTGATATGTGTCGTATAATTGGTACAATTCTCTATGAGAGTATCGATAGAAAATGTTTTATGTTACAAACGAAAACGTCGAATGCGTTAAGTTATTATTTTAAAGAGATTTTATCAGATGATGAGGAGTGCTACCAGTGTTTCATGCTGTTCGAATCCATGTGCCTTAATCTCTTTTCACTCAAGTTTCACGACGTTGACGAGATACAAAAGCTGATTGATGGCTATGTAAAGTTGGCAAAAATGTACGGTTACTCGGGCTGTGTCAAGTCGATCACGTACAACATTGTAGAAATCTCAGAGTCGTTATTCACGTATTGGGAAACCCGTATAAGAACAAAGAGAGCAATGTGTGTAAATAGTTTTCTATTGGAAATAATGAAACTAGTCAAGCATGTGAGCGCGTGTCTTATTAAACAGACATCGAACATATGCGAGTTTTGTCGAGACGATGAATGTCTGGTCAGGAACGATATGTATAACGCAGTAATATTAAAGACCAAATGTGCCAACTTGATTAATACGCGTTCTATTGGGGATATATCAGAAGATGTTTACATGCTCGCCAGAAAATTCTTGACGCAGTGTATAGCATTTATTAATGAGATGAGAAACTGTAAATGTAAACGTTGGATGCATTTGTGGACCATGACCGGTGCCTTGATTTACAACCTGGGTATAATGTCCCAGTCTTTTTACAAACAAAGCGTATCTTTGTTTTCTTTGCTGTTGACCTCGATTATACAGTTCGAGGGGGTCGTGTCAAAGTCGCGATATATAAGTCTTCAGAAACCCATTTATAACATCTTACTTAGAATAAGCTCTCTTCATTACGATCATCACATGTACAGAGAAGCAATGACCGGCGCTGCGTTAAGTGGTCTGTTGAGCTATGACGATACAAATTTGAGTGCTTTTCACATGTGGGCAAACATTAAGAACAAATGTCAAACCAACAAGGCGATAATGGAGATGACCATGCTGGCCTGCTTGAAGCAGGATAAATCAAAGATAAATGAATTGGGGATGTCGGTCGAATTATCGAAATACAATCTCGTTGAATTGTGTTTGAAAGAAGCGAAAGGTTTGCAAGAAGCAAAAGTCAATCTCTCGGTTGCCATTCATCGAGTCCTGAATGAAATGAAAGCGTTGAAAGCGACTGCCGTTCAATACGCTCGGGTAGTTCAAATGCTGGTATACCATTTGGTATGTTTCAATCACGACGAGGATACTTCAGAATCCCTTAAGGAGGCCGTTTCGAACTTGAAGCAAGTCAAGGCGGATAATTTCGTTCAATGTTTGCACGCCAATTTAGAATTTTATATGTTCGTAAATCAGTTACATGCTACGAACAAGAAAGTTGAAGCGGAGATGGAGAGCACAAACTTTGCGTTGCGCGCTCCGGCACAATCTGAGGCTGGGGAAAACGAGTCTCGCAACGTGGTGCCGGCTTATACCATGATAAATATCAAGCAAGACCATAAGCTCATGTCGTATTTGCAGACACCAATAAAGAAATGGAGCATGTGTTTTCAATGTGATCTTGTAAGTCTGGTAAATGAATTGGAACTTTTTTTTGTTTATCTTTGTCTAAATTACTCGATGCTCTTTATGTCAACAGAAGGAAATAGTAAACGGACATGAATCAATGATAATTATGCATACGTTGATTATAGCTGCTGAATATGCTCGTTTGTACAGGTATCAGGAATGCGAAGTTTGTATATGGAAACTTGTGTATACGTTGGCTTCTGAAATGCAAAATAATTCTGCAATTCTTTACGGTACAAACACTGTTTTTACATATTCGTATAAATGCAGCACGAATTAATCGTTATTGTTACAGTTACTGGCCGTTGCATATCGTTGAGGTACATTGATTACGCATGGATCGCTACAGCCAAAGAGCTTGCTACCAAGTTGCAAGACACCAACGACGATGATACAGTTTATGCGATCGCCGTCTTTTGGATAAGCCTGTCGGACTTTTATTTCGAATGCGACAAAGTAAGTTTGTTATCCACGTATAATTAAAATCACGTGAGCATATGAAAATTGCCCATTTTGTCTCTAGTATGACGAGGCCAGAAAGTTACTTGATGCATCCAGAAAATTGCCAGGCATCTCGTTTATGGACAATACGTCTGTTTATTTGTACGGGCTCGACAGAATTTTGTACAATTGTCATTTATACAACGAGTCTATTAAACACGACGAATACACCCGTTACATTGTTGAAACTCTGTACGCTCTAGTCAGTTTGGACGAGGAGCTTTCTGCAAGAAAATGTAAACCAATTTACAAAACAGTTGTTTCACGATCAACGTTCGTGCTCGCTTAAAACTGTAGTTTGAAATTTTTTTCAAGGGACGCCCCAAGTCAAGTATCTCTTCACTTGTGATATAGTATTATCGGCGACTGTCAATTTGTCTCTGCGAATGAACAGCTTGTTAGCGTTTCGAGAAATTGGTGCTCATTTGGTGCAGCGGCTGAAAATCGCGCAGGTATTGGGGTCGACCATAAGAGTCGCGGAGGTCTTGAAATCTTTATGTTACATCGATTTGTCGCGTGTGCAACTGAACGATTGCGAGGTAAAGCTTCAAGGATTGGAGCATATTTTAAACATCGAAGGAGTTAAGACGTCGATGGAAACTGGTAGAACGAGAAATATTTCACCAAATATCTTGGCAACGCCCGTCAGATTTGTAGATCCCATCAGAGACAATCCTCAAAACGATGCTTCGCCGATTCTTCGAAACAAAGTGTTTGAGGTACCGCAATTCATGTATCATAAAGATTGCGACTGTGGCGTCTGTCAAAACGAGTCCTATCATTATTTAATATTGACGGCCACGCACATCAGAGCGCAATTGTACGCGTTGCAAAGAAACGCTGCAGCGTCGTTGCAGCATTTCCACGGTGCGTTCAAAATAAAAGAGAAATTGGTGAAATCGAACAAGTTGAAGAGTAATCGTGTCTCTTGGCAAGAACGCTTCTACAGTACAGATTACGTACTGTTGCTGATCAATTTCTTTTACTCTTTGAGACATTATCGGAACACGGGGCAAGAGAAAATAACAAGCATCGTCTTGCTGATGATTCAAATGTGCGACACGTACAAGCTAAAAGGACATCCGATTTATATGGCTGTTCAGGAGATTATACTTCAACATCGTTTTCAAAAGATTTTTGGTTGTTCTGATTATCTAGGTAAGTAGTCGATTTACATTTATTGCGGAACGTGAATCTTGATTGATTAAATTTTTGTAGAATTCACAGTGCCCGACGCTTCCAATATTGACGTAACTAAATACGCGCAAGTGCCAAACATCGAAGAAACTATCTGTGTAACCCCGACTGTCTCTCGTACTAATACTCGAACAAAGAAAGCCATTAGTATTCGACGCAATCGAACTCCGCCACTTTTAAGTTTAACCAAGATTAGCATGAACTATGATGACGAGGATAATACTGTATCACCGCCAGCTAGGATCACTAGGTCACGTAGCAGATTAACGAGAAGAAAATTGTTGGCTGAAGAATATAACGATACTCCGAGTCAAGTGAGACAGTCTAAGTCGATCGAGGAACTTGACGCCGCAGCGTCGCGAGGTAATGAGAGTAAGTCGCGAAATTCAAAGCAGTCGACTTGGAGCGATCGCAAAATGAAACAGATGATCTCGCTGTTTGATGATTTTGCTATCGATACCAAGAACAAACTCGACGTCGAGAATGATGCGATAGACGAGATCAAAGGAGAAGACTCGTATTCTCTGAATGCGAATTCGTTGCCGTGTCAAAAGAAACAAGATGTAATTAACAAAGGACACGTAGAGAAATTGGAAAATAATAATTTAGAGAATTCTAGTGAGAATAAGAGAACGAGGATCCCAAGGAAATCGAAAAGATAGGCTGTTTGAAATAGAGAAACGCGTAGCGTAAATACTGTAAAGAGGAATCCTAATGTTTATAATTAAAGTAAAGCGCTGTTCAAGTGTGTATTTTGTAATCAACTGCCAATAAAAATAATTTTCTACTTTTAATACATTTTATACATATGTTATGAATTAATTGGGTACAACCTGTTAAACTTTTAAAAAATATTTATTAAAATATTTCACATATTTACACATGTAGTAAAAAATAGTAAAAGTTAAAATTACTTGGTGACAATTACAAATAAAAGTTTTTTTATCGTATCGCTACCTATTACTTTACAACGTTTTATAAATAATAATCGTATTAGTACCAATTAAATACTTTTTTTTCATTCCATACGATCGAAAAAAGAAATATTTCTCTTTGTAATTTCCAAGTATCACACAATTATCTTTATTGTTATGTAGGTATGGCCAACAATAATAAATAAATATTTGCATTACCACCTAAAAGGAAAATGTAATGTTGTAGCGTGAAAAATCTCAATTACATAACACGATGTTTGTCTTTGATTATGTGAAATATGAATGTTGGAAACAATGCTGCAATAAAACTGTTTCATCTGCACGCAAAAATAATGTCGAGTGGATAATATTCTAGTGCCAAACAACGAACAAATCAATTTCTTCGTTTGTAATCGAAACAAGTTTTTCCCCCTTTACGTCTTTAAACGTCAAATTGCTTCAAGAGACACGAGATAGTCAAAATAAATCTTTTCTTCTTCTCTTTAAGCACACGGAAGATGAGACGAAAACATAATGTGTAGTTTTGTAGCAAAACGATAAATGGTCAACATAATAAACTGTAACATGATAATGTAATTAGAAAAGTGTAAAAGGTTGATTGTAAAAAATTCTAGTTGATTGTTTAACGAGAAAGACGGATTCGAATTTCTTCATTGTCTCTGTACACGTTCAAGGATCATTATGGCGATAAATGCATTCTTTTTCACCCGCCATACAGAAACAACGCAAAACTACAATAGCCATTAATCACAGTCTACAAGTGTGTGTAATTCAACTCTGAATTCACAAAACATTCATCTTTATCATGTTTAAAATCTAAACTTCTCCCTGTGTCGTCTTGATTTTTAGCTAATTCCATCAGAGCCAAAGCTCCCAGCCATTTCTGGCTGTCTTCCGGAATTGGTAACTTGACAAAACTGTCTTCCTGCTTAACGACCACTACTTCCATTTGCGTTTCAGATTCTATCGATGCCAACTTTGCGACGGCATCCTTGTCATTATTATTATTATTGTTGTTATTGTTGTTGTTGTTATTAACGCTCCTAGCCAACATTAGAACCGTCGGTCTCGTTGTATTCTCGCCAACGTGAGAGTTGACGAAAGCATCTTGTCTCGAGACTGTTTTTTGAACGAAGTCCCTTGCGTCGGACCGTGGCGCAGACGTTTCATTCGTCAAATTATTATCCCAGTATGCGTGGTTCAAATTTTCACAGGGTTCGAGCTTGGAACGATCGCTTCTCATTTCATGCTTATTGTCTAAAAAATCGTGTCGCGAGGAATTCCACATGTTTTGACACAACATACTCGACGCTTCGATTGCATACTTTTGTTCTTCCTTTATGACTGCTTCCAGAGATTCGGTGCCAGCAGCCGTGGTCCACGATATCTGACAAGACTCGTAAGAAGAATTCACCTCCGGTTTCGCGAGCGCAATTTCTTTGCACTCGTTTAAACAGGAATTGTCCAAAGAGACAGGGGAATTGTCCAGAGGTGAACTCCACTGCATCTGATTACCACCATTGATTTTAAACGAACAGGTCGTAGACACAGGTTTGCTGTCCCAGTTTAAAGGTTTCGCCAGTTGCTGTTCCAAACAAGCTTCTCGTAGCCACCTCTTCTTTGGTTGAAGTCTGTCCAATGGTCGTCTCAATGGAGTGATGGCCAACTTTGTCGATACTTCCTCGTCCTCGGACGTTTGTAATACTGCGGGATCTTCGTCTTGACTTTCCTCTTGGCTGTCTTGACTCTCCCCACGATACAATCTCTGATTCGACGGCTTGCAGTCTAAATTCTCTTGCTCCCCGGTCGCGTCCATCATCAGACCTTTTCTAGACTTAACTCTCTTGTGATTCTCCAAACTACTTTTCCAGGTTTTCTTCTTCCGTTCATTCTTCCCTGTAGGCGTTCTATCCTCCCTCTCTCTAGACATTTTATAACGTTCCAACCATCTAGTAACGTCATGAGGTAATTCTGTATTGTCCGACACCGGTTTCAATACAAAATCGTCAGATCTTGTAAGAGTAGCGTACGGATGGTCCGGACAATGTCTGTTTGCGTGTGTAAATCTCATTTCACAGCCAGGTTCAGTGCATAAAAAAGGTTTCTCTCCCGTATGTAATCTTTGATGAGTCTTCAACTGACCCGATTGAGTGAAAGCCTTTGTGCATCCAGGATAATCACACGGATACGGGCGTTCTCCTGAAACAACAACAACAATTTCCATGCAATCGTCTTTATTGTCGACATTGTGGGGCAAGATTTTCGGTGATTAATGAAAGACTGAGTTGACAAATCTCCGACTGTGTACTGAAATTTCTTTACGGCAAGGATTGGAACGGAGAGCCATGCGTCATTTCTCTTTTTTCCAAACAAAGAACGTTTAACGATATATATCGAAAACGAGGAATTCATTACGCGGCACGAGAGTAACAATTGTTTATGCAACACGAGATACGACACGAGGAACGATACTCTACAACACAGTTTGGCTCTTCATCCATACAGTTTCCGTACGTACAAGCCATTTAACTATTTAAAGTACGCATGATGGCGATTGGCGGGATACGTGGAGTCGCTCTAACCGTCGACGAGTCATGTGGCTTTTACGAGCGAGCAATGTAGCTCGAGTCGAGTTTTTTCACAGAAACTTCAATTGAAATCGATCGCATTCGCGTCGGGAGTAGAGAGAATCGTCAGTACGACGAACGAGGCATACCTGTGTGGGTACGCAGATGCGCTTGGAGACTCTTCTCGCGTGGAAACACGCGACTGCAGTAGGTGCATTTTATGCTGCTGGGCGAGGTGCTGCCCTGCATCATGAGATTCGTGAGCGCGTCGGCCCTTGGTCGGCCACGACGATGACTCTCGGAACCACCTGAACGCGAACGATTCCCGGTCCGCGTGGTCACCGTGTTCTGATCCCTGTACTCCGGCGACGAGCACGAGCTACCCGGGCTAAGGTTTACATTTCTCGCCTCGTCGCCCCAATTCCACGGATAAAGCATGCTGTCGCACATTGGCGGGCTGCATGGCAACGCTTCCGTCAACAGCGGACGCGTCTCACGCTTCGGCGTGTGCAATTCCATTTCACTTTTTCACTTCACCTCGCCGGCCGACTTAAAACCCAACGTTAACCACCTACTATGTTGTCTCTTCCCTCTCCCTCTTTCCACCGCCGTCGTGTGTCGCGGGTGCCGCGTGCAACTAGTGAACCGCCAAAACGAATGTACGTGTCCGTGTGTTTCACACGTATACGTGTGAGCACGTATGGCGCGCGTTCGCGTTCAATAAACCGCGCCAAATTACTCGCGCGAATTCACGAACGCGAAGAACACCACGGTTGGTCGGGGTTCAAACGAGATTTCTGTCGATGCAAACTGTTTCACCGGAGAACACGATCGTGCTGTTTTCTTTGCGTGTTGCAAGCATCGCTTTACCGACCGTTTCTACACGCGGCTTTGCCCTCGTGCGCGCGCATTCTTCCCCTTGGCGTAGACACGTCCAATCGCTGTTTCCTCAGGACGAAAAACGCGTGATACAAAATAAGAATAGTTTCACGCGTATCGTCTATTAATAGCGTGTCGTTGTTTGCATAATCTGTCAACTAGTTGAAAATGTTTGTTACTTTTCGTCTGGATCGTTAGACGCTCGAGTGCTTTATTTCCAGTCAACGCGCATAATTGTTGTACACTATAGTCTACACGCTATAGACAGGATTCCTATGAGCGCTTGTAATGAAGAAACTTGAATGTATGTAATCGGTAGCAATAGGCATAGCAATTGTATGATTTTATTTAAATACTTGGATTCTACATAGAAACACGGCATGACGAGTTACTTTCTTTAGAATCTGTTTTCTCTGATTCGTATCTGTAAAGAAACTTGAAATTGGAATTCCATCATCTGTATTACTACCGTTGTCAATTGGTCGTACCTTTACGTTTCATCAACAAAGGATGGAACGTAGGCTGTAAACAGTAGAGTAACAACTTTACCTTAGATTTTAATATACGTACACGGAAATGCATGTAAAATGTAACGTGACAATTTGCAGTATAATGCAAATTACAACGAGACTTTTTCAATAACAAATAGTTTTGCAGATCGAGGAATAAAACGATGAAATTGTTGTAAGTTTGGAACCACATCGGTACAATTTTTGTTCGCGTGAAACATGATGTATGACTAAAATAGCGTACGTTTATAAATGTTATTGTGCGGCAACAAGATAAAAGCGTAAAAGATAAGAAAATCTGTTGTGCACGGCGCGGCAGTGTTCACTGTATAATTCATGGAAATAATGCCGGTTTCTTTGTGAACGACAACTTGGAAAGTTATCACGCTCAATCGTTGGACAATTGTTATTTTAAAAATGCGACGTTGTTAAAATTAAAGACTCGATTTTAGACGGCGTTTCGTAGCCTGAAACTGTATAAAATTAACGATACAAACAATATTGGTGGGGTGGTGGCGCGCTGGGTGCAAGACAATTATGCGGTCCCTCCCTGAGCGCAGACCTCGTGGTGGACTATCTCCGACTCAGCCATATTGAAATATTGAATGTCTCTGTTACACAAGGGCTCAAGAGTAGCCGTGAAATTTTCGCGTGATCCTCGACGAAGAGAGGATAAGAGACATTATGGAGAATATGTACAGCATTGCTGTCGCCAACAAATATCAGTTAGCATTGGGTGATGACGAAGACCCTCACGAGAAGCTTAGAGAAGAGGAACTTAAAAAGGAAGCGAAGAAAAAGGAGAAGCTCTCCGAGAAGGAGAACAAGAGTAAGCAGCCGGACGCGCAAAAGCCAGCCGGTAATAAAACGCAAAAAAACCGCGTGATCAAAGATGCCCAGCAACCCGCAGCCAAGGTGCAAGAATTGAAGAAAGATCAAGGTTAGCGATATTTCTTTACGATCTCGCCTCGTGCGCGGTACTATGGCCGTCGCACGGCTCCTCGTGGGTCCATGTGCTTTCGATATTTTGCCGCTTGTTAAACGAATTTATTCATCGTTCGTCGCTCATTTTTTCGTGCCTGTCCGTTCCATCAACGCGGCTTCTCGGATACGAATCGTTCGTTGATAATTCACCGCTCCAATACTCTTATTTCTCGCAACTCGCCGATAATTTTTTTATGCCGCATAGCGTGTGGGTAGGTTCTTTTCGTATCGTAAAAATAGAATTTACCAACGATGACCCCGTGTGTCGTTTAACAAATAATTTAGATAGCGTGGTACAGTTTATTGCAGGAACATTCGTGCGATCATAAAGTAGATCGAAATAATTCGGAGCAAGTGTACCATTAATTGATGGTACAGCCGGGTGAATTTTATTGTTCGATCCTTTGTATACGCCTTCTATTATTATTTTTATTGCGAATAATCGATAAACTGTAAAGAAATCGTGTCGACACTTGTACGTGTGCTTTAAAGAGACGAGTAAAGTGTCGGTGAATACAAGAATTTTTGGACCGTCAAATTTGTCTTTCTCAACAGTTTGAATTCCACGTTCTGTGATTTTTGTTCTTATAGTCGGTGAAAAGAAACCAACCCAACCGAGGACTGGCGGCGGAGACCGTAATGTGAAATTTTCTGGAGAGAGCAGGGAAGAGAGGAACAATAGACGTAATCGCGAAGATGGTGAACGAACTCCTCGTGGCCAGGGAGAAATAAGACGAGGACCTCCTGGGTTAGTGTTCAAATTGAAACGATTCACATTACTCTCGTGTACTCTTGTATTTTTACTCGTCATTCTTCAGTGAGGGACGTGAAACTCGAGAATTTCGAAACTCGAATGATAATCAACGTGGAGAGTATGGAGAACGCAGGGGTCGTGGAGGACTGCGTGGAGTATCACGAGGACGTGGTGGGTCTCGCGGTCGCGGTGGATATGACTATCGTGGAAAGCGCGAGTTCGATCGCCAATCTGGCTCCGATAAAACGTAATTTCAGCAATTGTTGCCACTTGATCGTACGACAAGTTCAATTCAATAAACACGTTACTCGTTATTTTTTTTTTACAGTGGAATTAAACCAGTGGATAAAAAGGATGGTGCTGGCAGCCACAACTGGGGAACCCACAATGATGAAATTGAGTGAGTGTCGTTTGTGTGACGAAGCTTTTTTTCACGACAAATGGAATTCATAAGTTAATTTTGTCGTTTCGTTGTCAGAGAGAGTATGAATCAAGAGAGTCAAGATTGGGCAAACGAGAAGCCTGACGGAGACGCTACTCAGGCGTCCCCGGAGGTAAAGGAAGGGGAGACGACTACAGACGCCGTAGAGGAGAAACCGGCTGAAGAGGAATCGCGTGAATTGACATTGGACGAGTGGAAAGCTCTGCGTAACAACAGAGTGAAGCCGCAGTACAACTTGCGTAAGGCCGGAGAGGGCGAAGACTTGACACGCTGGAAAAAAATGTATGCACTACAAAAGAAGAAGGAAGGAGCCGAGGACGAGGATGACGAGGAAGAGGAGTACGATGCGGCGGCAGAGTATCCTCAACGCGTTGGCAGACAGAAACGCGTGCTTGGTATTGAGATACAATTCAGTGATTCACGGCGCGGTGCCGGTGGACGTGGCCGGGGAGGTCGTGGACGAGGCGAACGAGCCAACAGTCGTGGTTTCGGCAACCGTGGGGCTCCAAGAGACGGAGACTCCCGTGGTCCTGTAAGTTTCGAAATTGATTCATGTTTTTGCAGGGTCGGCGCGCGAGTCTCAACGTTAACGAATGTGTCTTCGAATTTTTCAGCCTCCACAAGCTGAACAAAGGTCGCCTCGAGGACGTCAAAATGCTCCGAAAGTAGACGACGAGAATGATTTTCCCTCGTTGGGATAGGTGGTTCGGCTTGTACGCAGTTCAGTATCCCACCATTACCACCGCCACTACCAGCATCAGTACCACCACAGATAAAAACCACTAATACTAAAAACTATTACTATCGACATTTTTGCGTCAGTGACAAACGTTATTAATGCATAATACAGTACACCCTTGCAAAATGAGATACGTAATTTACCTAAATAAATCGCAGCGCTTTGAGCGCGCTCATACATATTGGCACGAAAAAAACGTACACACGAGAAGTCGCATGATACGAAACAATGTAGATCACAATCCTTTTTTGTACTTGTAACAACTCGAGTTTGACTGTGAACCAGTTCACAGACGGACGCTATTAAAAGAAAAAAAAGAAAAAAAAAACTAGGCTGGATATTCATAGACTTCTGCGTCGAATAATCGTGAAACGTAGATAACAAACAGACGGAGAACATCTTTCTTTGTCCAGTGGTGCTTATGTTTTACGACTATTCGACGCACACGAAAACGCAAAAGAAGAGAAATATGAAATTCCACTTGGTACGAATGGAGGTGAGGCAACTTGGCCTTGATTTTAATTTCGATTTCGTATGTATCGAGGGCCTAAGAAGGCTGGCCATAGCACCGACTCTTACGGACACGTGTATAATAACTTATTAGGCGGTAAATTTTAAACATTCTTTCTGTTTTATAATTTTTATACGGTGTTTGGAGAAGCCTTCCTTGTAATACAACAAGCCGTTGCTTGCTGTCCATAAAACGTAAGAGATGAAACGTAACAGTTTTCTTCGGTAGAAGTGAACAATTTTTAAGGATCGTGTTTCTGTCGAAGAGAACTCGTACGCTTTACGTCTCGTGTTTCACGGGCAACGAGTAACGTCTCTGATATTGAAAAAAGTGTCTACTTGGGTACGCCAAGTTTGGCTTATATAGAAATATATATAGATTTTTTCCTTTCAAAGATGTAACCAATCTGTAAGAAGTTAACGTTTAAGTAAATATTAGACACACGACACACACACACACGGACATAAAACATGATTCAGCTTTACATATATATATTGTATAACAAGTTTAATGAGGGCGATCGAGACACTTCGAGAGGGAAGATAGGATCAACCCAGTCTTATATAGTTGCGTTGTACGTCGATCATGTTCTTAATTATGACTCCCTACATTAGTTATCTATTGTATTTGTTACATGTAAAATGAAATGAGATATCACAGCCAAAAGGAATCCGAACCCTCTTCGTAAATGCGGGAAAAGAAAAATAAAAAAACGTTATAAAGCTGTTCGGAGCTTAGGAATATGTGTAAATAATATGATATTTACAATAATAAATCGTGACACATTAAGTCACTCTGGACTTTACTACTTAACCAGTCGACTTACGGAGAGATACTCTAGAAAGGGTTTTTACTTGTGCAGTATGTAAAGAATGTGAGTACAAAACAAAATCACTGTATACCACCTTGCATCAAAGTCTGCTATAAGGGCGCGATTAAACGAATTGGGCGTCACTGAATGCTTTGGGAAAAAGAAAATATGAGAGGTGCTGTACCCAATAAAAAGTTATGACTCGAATTTTGATTGTAAGGAGCTTGTTATTAAAACAACACCGACCGTAACGTATTTCAATATGAAATTCTCTTGTTATTTGCAGATTGTCCCTCCCGGCGAAACGATGGGTCTTCTTTTTTTTAAATTAGACGACTTTAATAGACTTTGAAATTATCTACTTTAAGTTTCACCGTCGATTAAGAAGTATTAATTTCTCCTGGTGGTGTTCATGGTCTTGTGAAAGATTCGGTAAGCCAGGACATTTTTATATATTCCCAAACTAATCGTCCGCGAAGGATAAACAAACGAATAGCGCAAAGTGTGTTAGCTCGTTAATTAGTAATTTACGTTTCGAATTTGCCGCAAAGATCGATAAAAGTAACGTGAGGCATACTTGAGGCTGCATGACCACAGAGAGTACGATATAGAGGTACCCCGTGTAGCGAACAACGCTGGTAGGAGGGAGAGAAAGGTCGAGGGCGAGAGAGCGATAGAACTAGTCAAGGAGAGACACTGAACCGTGGGAAATGCTCGACTAGAGCGAGAGAGAGAGAAAGAAAGAAAGATAATGAACAAGCGGCGCATGCCGTAGCCACGGCCCCCAACTTGCTCTAAACTCGTGCAGCCTGTCGCTGTCGGTCGAATTTTAATGGCGGCTCATTCCGATTCCCTGTTTAGTGTTATTTTCAAGCTCGGAATGGTACATCTGTAATCTTTATATGCGGCCAAAACGAGCGATAAGTGGTTCCGGTGAATATCGGGTGCGCGTCTCAGTGTTCTATCGGTCGGGAGGGTATATCGAGGGTCCATATCAAGGACATACTTGGTGCATATCCGCGATGTGTCGTAGCGACTCTCGCGTACGAACATTCCATCGTGCAGTCGTGTTGTACGCTCTGGCGTTTTGATGAAAAAGCTCCATCGTACATGAGTAAATTAAGAGTTTCGTTCTGTATTTCGACCAAGACATGTGTATGGATGCGTGCGCGTTAATCGTGAGAAGAGGAGGAAAGTAGCTTCGAACGAGCTGACCGATGATCGTATCAGATCGGAGCTGCGAGCTTTTTTCATTCTGGAGGTAATTCTTTTTCTTCTTCCCATCGGAGCAATTACGCGAATATACATTTCTGCGAGTGTGCAAAATGCATTTTTACGCCTCCAGAGAATAGTTCGGCGATCGGTATTCTACTAACTCGTTCCGTTTGTGTTTTGTTAGACGATTATCGACAAGGAGTAAAATATCTTTGGCTTCGTGCGAAGACACTGGTCTTAGCTGTCAAGTGCAGCTATGCTACTCACACTAATGAAGGGTGGTGCGTGCAACGGTGTAACTCAAAAAGTGTGGAGCCATCTGCCCTAGCTTGACATCGTCGTCGACGAAATGTTTTAGTACCGAAATCGGTCAGTAAATCCATTATTTACGTTTCAATGTGTTTTGTTCTTTTACTTTTTTCCTTTTTTTTACTTGGCACAGTCATCTGTTCTTGATTACGCGCTTTTAATCTCAAGTTATAAATATCGTTAATGCATCGCGCAAAACGTTCTAAACCTTAATTGCTTCGCGATTTCTCTTGTGCAAAATAGAGTATTGAAGAAAATTCGTAAAACGACGATAAAGGCGGATCAATGTCAATGTATTATTTCAATTGCCTCTTAGTGTTTGAAATTGGGAAAGACTACATAATGAAATGTGCAATTGTTGACTGAATGTTTCAGAGGTACCGGGCAATCTGAATCATGTCGGTGCCTGGACATACCAATAGCTGCTAGTATTGTATCAATACTGGCTTTCTACCAGTGGGACGCATACCCTTATTACCTTCTAAGCTTCCTACCCTAGACACTTGTACACGCACAAACGCACACGCAGTTAGCGTGTGCGCGTGTGCTTTGTCAACTATCGTCTACACAACATGAGATTCTTGGGATTTGTATCATTTCCCACTTCGCCCACTGTGTCGTCTCTCAAGCTACTGCTACCAATTCACAGATTATCCCTTTCATCCATGTACGTTGCCACCTGGTTCCTGGTGGTACTAGTAACTGCAACCATAGACACACCTGCTAGTACTGTTTCACCTGTGAAAGAGAACAAATCTCTGCACATTGTCTCTCAGTTTCCTCCAGGAGATGGTCAGAGATATGGATTCTATCCTATAGATCCAAATACAACGAGAGAAGGTGCCCTACGATTCAACCACCTCACTATAGATCCATCTACAGGAAGATTGTACGCGGGTGCTGTCAACAGACTCTTAGAATTAGATTCTGATCTCAAGTTAGAAGAATATGTTTCCACAGGTTAGCCATTGACTCTTGTTACCACTCGTGTATTCTACATTACTTTTTATTTAATGAACGTTGCTGTTTGTCGCTTTATCTAGGACCAAGATTAGACAACCCCCAGTGTCATGCAACAGGCTGCAACTCCAGAGACATAACTACATCTCTAATGGACAATGTAAACAAGCTACTGATCGCTGACCTCGAATCACAGACGTTGATCGCGTGTGGTTCCCTTCTTCAAGGTGCTTGTGAAAAGTACAAAATGTCAAACATATCTGTCAAGCCGGAGTTCGTTCCCCTTAGTGTAGCAGCCAATGATGAGAATTCTTCTACGTACGCTTTTATTGGACCCGAGAGATACAATGCCTGGGGACAAACGAACATACTCTACGTCGGTACCACGTTCACCAACCGCGGGGATTACAGACACGACGTGCCCGCTATTTCCAGCAGGAGTCTCGACAATTTGGAATTCGCCGAATACACGTTCAATAAACAGTCCATCGTATACATCGACGTAAAGTACCGAGATCATTTTTTGGTTAAATACGTGTACGGTTTTAACGCAAGCGATTATGCATACTTTGTATTGGTACAAAAACAATCTCACCTTCCCGAGGAAGAGGAGAAGGGTTACATCTCCAGGCTGGCCCGAAGTTGCATCAGCGATCCGAATTACGACAGTTACACGGAAGTGACGCTGCAATGCGTTGTCGATCTCGGCGACGGGAAACTTCAGAGTTACAATTTGGTGCAAGATGCGAAAGTAGCTGCTGCTGGAAGCGACCTGGCCAAGCAACTCGGTATCTCCGTCGGCGATCCCATATTCGTCTCCGTATTTTCTCCGAGCAGAGGTATCACGAACGAACCGTTGTCTCGGTCGGCGCTTTGCGTGTACAGTTTGGAAGATATCGAAAGAACGTTTAATGAGAACATACACATGTGCTTCAACGGTAGTACCAAGTACAGGAACATGGGTTACGTGAGTGGCCCTATACAAGACGGGAAGTGCCCCACGGCAGGGACAACCGGCAATATTTTGAACTTCTGCGAGGTGGGCTTGAAGATCTCTGGAATGTCGCCCATCGTAGGAAAAGCGATCTTACATTTTCCCGAGGAATTCATCACTTCCGTGACAGTGACGACTACAGAAAGCCATACTGTCGCCTTTCTAGGTACCAACGAGGGTGTTCTCAAGAAAGTTTTGCTCTTTGGAGACGGAGCATTCGTCTACGAGAGTATCACGATCGACGAGGGGAGCAGATTGATGCCCGACACTTTGATCTCGCCAAACACGAAACACATTTACGTACTGTCGAGCTCGAAAATTTCCAAGGTCAAGATCGAGCACTGCAACAGCTACACCAACTGCAGCACTTGTCTCGACGCGAGAGATCCCTACTGTGGCTGGTGTTCGTTGGAGAAGAGATGTACGATCAGGGGAGATTGTCAGAAGGCGAGTCACAGTAGTCCACGATGGTTGTCTTTGGGCACGGGACAGCAGTGTATCGATTTCGAGCAAGTACTTCCGGATCGAATGCCCATCAATCAGATGACCACTGTTCATTTAACGATCAGAACTTTACCGGAATTGCCAGCGGGTGCGAACTACAAATGCGTGTTTGGCAACGCGGAGCCCATAGATGCGTTGATGACGGGCTTTGGATTATCGTGTCCTACACCACCTGTTACCGAGAGGCCGTCTATACCGGAAGGAGCCGATCACGTCCTAGTACCACTGTCCGTACGCTCGAGCGAGACTAACAAAGACTTCGTGTCGCGAAATTTCGCGTTCTTCGATTGCTCCAGACATACGATGTGTACAGAATGCGTAAAGTCTCAATGGGCGTGCAGCTGGTGCGTTTACGATAACAAGTGTACGCATAATACGAGTTGCCAGGGTATAATCTCCGGGGAAAATGTGAGCGTAAGTATGCCTCGATTGAACTTTGTACAAATTTTAGCATTTGAAAATCATGAAAATTAATTTTTTGTATCTACAGAATCAGGCAAGTTTGGCTGCGCACGGTGCACAGTACTGTCCAAGATTCGTCCAACGCCAAGAGCCGTTAATGTTGCCCAACAGTGTGCCCAAGGAGATAGTACTCGAAGTTGAGAATCTCCCTCATCCGCAAGTAGGACACAGTGGTTTCCAATGCATCGTCTCGATCGAGGGCGCTAATTTAAAAGTACAAGCTCGTGTGGACAGCAGCCGTTACATAGTTTGCGACAAAACGGTCTACTCGTACGAGGCGGTCACGGGTGAATACGAGGCGGAGGTGACCGTTGTTTGGAACATTAATCATCACGTGGATAAGACGACGATAATCCTGTACAAGTGTGAAGTGTTGGGTTCGCATCGCGAGCACGCCGACTGTTCCCTTTGCGTAACCAGAGACGCGCGCTTCGAATGTACTTGGTGCGGTAACAGTTGCGTGTACCGGCATTCCTGCTTGCACTCACCGTTTACCGAGTGCCCGAAGCCGAGGATAGACATGATCAAACCTTTGAGTGGACCGATTGAAGGTGGCACATTGGTCACCATTGAGGGCAGCAACTTGGGTCTGAAGGAGAGCGACGTGGAAGGAAAGATACACATTGGTAACACCCCCTGCGCGTTAGTCGACTACGAGGTGTCCGTGCGAATCGTTTGCCGTACCGGGAGACACGAGGCAACGGACACTGCCTCCGTGGTCGTTGGCAACGATGCTGGTTATACCGAGAGCTCCGTGTTGTTTAATTACAAAGATATACGATTATCTGGACTCTATCCGTCAGTTGGCCCGCAAAGTGGGGGCACTCAACTTGCCATTACTGGTATGTATTTGAACATCGGTAGCACCATATCGGCTTACCTAGACGATTTGCCATGTCACGTTAACGCTACTCAAGCCAGTAGCACTAGACTGACCTGTGTGACGAGTAAATCCGATCGGGTAAGAAAAATCGAGAGACTGACCCTTAGCATAGACGGTGCTAATCGTACTCTAGTTGGTAATCCTTACAACTACACTCACGATCCTACCATCATGGAGATCAAACCACTGACGAGCTTCGCCTCCGGTGGTCGTATGATTACCGTTCACGGCACGAATCTGGATACCATTCAGAAGCCCGAGATGGAAGTTTACTTCGACAATGAACCACTGCCAGTAAACAGGACTGTTTGCACAGTATTGAATCCGACGCAAATGGAATGCCCCAGCCCCAGCGTCGCTAAGCGTTTCATGTCCCTTCGGCGAAACACACGTTCCGCCGTTAATGTTCAAAGCGTACCGCCTCAGTCGTTGAAATTAAAGGAATCTCAATTATCTTTGAAGATAGCGTTCATCATGGACAACGTGGAGAGCGTTCGAGATTTGGAGAAACATTTCAAGAGCCTCAGAAACCGTCTGTTGTACGTCGAAGACCCAAAATTCTTCGCGTTCCCGCGAAACATCAAATTATATAAAGGTGACACCTTAGTCATCGAAGGGGAGAATTTGATTTACGCTAGCGACGAATCCGACGTTAACGTCACTGTCGGTATAATGCCGTGTAACGTGACGTCGCTCGCTTTGACTCAACTGGTTTGCATCCCGCCTGATCAACAGCCAGAGGACACGGACGAGCTTGGAATTAAAACCGAGAACGGTCTACCTTTAGTGGTGGTGCGCGTGGGTCGAAGCCTCAGGTTTCCCATAGGCTATCTGCGCTACGAAGTTATTAAATCCTACCCAATACCACCGGAGGCGATTGCCGGCATAGCTGCAGGCACGTTCGGTCTCGTGTTTCTATTCGTTTTGGTATTGATAATATACAGAAGAAAGAGCACGCAAGCGGAAAGGGAGTATAAAAGGATACAAATACAAATGGACACGCTGGAGAGCAACGTTCGAATGGAGTGCAAGCAGGCGTTCGCTGAACTGCAAACTGACATGACTGACTTAACCGCAGATCTGGAATCGTCCGGTATACCAACGCTGGATCACAAGAACTACATCATGAAAGTATTTTTTCCCGGTGTCACGCATCATCCTATATTGAACGATCCCAGATCTCGTAGCAACGTGTCCCGAACGAACTACGACGCTGCTATGATCCAGTTCGAACAGCTGATCAACAATAAATACTTCGTATTGACGTTCATCGAAACCTTGGAGGCGCAGAAGGATTTCAATATCAGGGACAAGGTGAACGTTGCGTCGCTGCTGATGGTCGTGTTGATGGGTAAAATGGAATACGCGACTGATATATTGATGAATCTTTTACTGAGGCTCATCGAGAAGGCGGTGAACACGAAGCATCCGCAGCTGATGCTGAGGAGGACCGAGTCCGTCGTGGAGAAGATGTTAACGAACTGGATGGCACTCTGCATGTACAATTACCTCAAAGACTACGCAGGTTCCTCTCTGTTTTTATTGTTCAAGGCAATAAAACATCAAATAGAAAAAGGTCCTGTAGACGTGATCACACACGATGCTAGATACTCGCTGTCCGAGGAGAGGTTACTCCGCGAGCAGATCGAGCACAGCGTGGTCACCCTGCACATCGTCCAAGATGATCTCGATGAGAAGATTCAGTGCAAGGTGTTAGATTGTGATACTATAAATCAAGTAAAATCCAAGATCCTAGATGCTCTCTACAAGAATACTCCTTTTTCACTGAGGCCGTCCGTTCACGACGTAGACTTGGAATGGAGACACGGCAGGGGTGGTCACTTGACCCTCCAGGACGAAGATCTCACGACCAAGTGCAGCGGCGAATGGAAGAAGATAAACACGTTGGCTCACTACGGCGTGAAAGAATCTGCGGTGATGTCGTTGATTCCTAGACAGAACGATGGTTTTTCCGTCGCGTGCAAGCCACCGTGTCACAATTGTAAACCATCGCACTATCACCATCAGCAACAGTCCATTCATCACCATCCTCATCACCATCATCTGCATCGTCACGCGAATCACTGTTCGTCCACGCACCTTCCATCCACGCCTAATCACAATCTAATCAGTCCTGTAATGTACAATCATCCGGTAAGCGGTTTATACTTTGAGAGTCAGCATTCGCCGCCTATCATAACGGCGAACGGCGACGTGGAAAGCGGCCATGGAGGCAATCAACGATTGTACCACTTGGTGAGGCCCATAGAGGACAGCCACTATCCCCCGGGCATGGGTTTCACTGGTAGCAAGCATCATCATCCGGAGCGGACGCACAAAGCCATACCCGAGATATTTCTAACCAGACTGCTGTCGACGAAAGGCACGGTACAAAAGTTCGTCGACGATTTCTTGAACACGATATTAACCGCGAACGAGGCGTTGCCCAGTGCCGTGAAGTGGTTGTTCGATCTTCTGGACGACGCCGCTAAGCAACACGGAATCGTCGACCCGGAAGTGCCGCACGCATGGAAATCAAACAGTTTACCGCTTAGATTTTGGGTGAACTTTATTAAAAATCCAGACTTCATGTTCGATATTAACAAGTCAACGACGGTCGATTCGAGTTTGTCCGTGATAGCGCAAACATTTATGGATTCTTGCTCGATGACGGAACACAGACTTGGGAAGGACTCGCCCTCGAACAAATTGCTGTTCGCTAAGGATATACCGCACTATCGGGAGAAAGTGGGTCGTTTTTATTTGGATGTACAAAGACTGCCGCAGATCACCGATCAAGAAATGTCTAGTGCCATGCAACAACTGAGCGCGTCACACGCGAACGAGTTCGACGTGATCGCAGCACTGAAAGAACTCTACATCTACGTCAGCAAGTACTATGAACAAGTAAGTATTGCTAGCGCCGGAATCATGTTTGATATTCTAACATTCTTGTTTGTTCAATCGATTGATAAGAGAGTACGGGAGTTTTTCGCAATACAAGAATTTAGAATTTATTAATGAAAATCTTTCTATGATGAATCGTGTAGATCCTAGAGGCCTTGGAGACAGACGCGGGCTGTCGCAAATTACATCTAGCTCACAGGCTAGAGAACGTTGCCTGCACGCTCGAGGGAGAGGAAACCAGTGCCTGCTGACACAACGTACTCGTCGCCATCCCAGGACCCGTCAATCTCTCCAGAAACACTGACTAGTGCCTCCATTTCATGCATCAGATAGACCTCGTTACATATGTACAAATCTACACGCCGTGTGAATAACAATGTCGTAAAGAAAAGAAGAGATACGTGCGATTTCGTTAAGGCTAGTCAGACGATAGTTTTTTTTGTCAGGATTTTAAACTGATCCTGGTTGTAGTATTTGCGTCTATAATGCCATGGCCGTATCGAAATACGCTCGTGCACGCGTACAGATATTAGCAGAGTGGTGACAAAGGGAAGGAAACGGTGACTCTGAACTTTGAACTCGATCTGTTTTTATTACTATTGTATATTTCATTTATTTTACTATACATATATACATATATATAGTGTGTATGTATATATATTATATATATATATTTGTAACAAATTATAGAGGAGCGATGCGAAGATGAAAAGAGGAATACTCGTTCGGAACTCAATGCAATCGGTGGAATCTTCGTTAATAAGAGTTAATAATTTATAGTACGATCGAAGAAGTATATTTCCGGTGACATAGCTTAAATATAGATCGACGCGCGATACAAAAGTCCGTGCAGAATTAAACTTGAAAAAAAAGATTACATTGATTTTCAGTTCCATTGTTGGCCGTATACGTAAATTATTCTAGAAAGCGTATGAGGAAAAACGAAAGGGACAAGTGTGTGTAAAAGTGAAGCGCGAGAACGGAAAAGCCATAGTGTCCACCAGACTGTCTGTACAAAGGGAGTACGGCAGCGAGTAGTCTGTGATCCGAGCAGGAGTGGCTATGCCTACTATCTTCATTATGATATATAATTATTAATATGTTATATATTATATATATATACATAAAAAATATATAAAGCAAAGGTCACGCGACATACAACTCCACGGATTGTAGTGAGCTAGTTAGAGAAGGTCTATATATGTATCATAAGTCGAGGGTCGGGAACTCTTTCGCAGAGAAAGAAAGAGCGTGTGAGCAAGAGAGTAAGAATGATATTAAACTAAGGCAGTTAAGATAATGTCAAAAAAAAAGAAGGAAATTTACGAGAGCAGCTTGGACTACTCTAGGCCTATTTACGTACATCTAGTACGTAAAAGAAAATGGAAATCTTTTTAGTACCTTCGTTTTGTTCACTTTTTTTATGTCTGTTTTAATTTTTCTTTACTCGATTACATTTATACGTATACGTATAAGCACGACTGTTGCTTCGATCTGGAAAGCCGCGACGTGGATCGTATAAAGTCTTCACGACTATTATCGAGTTGTATTATACCTATTATTACTCTTACTACTATTAAGTTGTATCGTCATCTATATAGTTACAATTATCGATTGCCCATTCAAACAATAGTTAGTTTCGTGTACTGTTAAGCGTAAGTAATTGGAAAAAATCGTGAAGGATATTTTATATTACGCAGCGGCGAGGATGTGTCTAGATCTTTTCGAATGAGATGGGGAAATTTAAAAAGAGAGCATAGGAGAAAGAATTTTGTACACGTCTGGTTGCATTTTCGGCGGCACTCGGTCAATATCGCGGTTGAACATGCCAAGAAAAAGGCGTGAGGAAACACAACGATGAACAGTATTTTCTTAAAATTGTCTGATTTGTGTAGTTCGTATAAGACTGCGTCAGTTCGAAAGTCCTGCATTTTTCTTTTTTAAGGAAGCATTTAATATCGTTAATTAATATCGTTATTCAGGCATATGAATGTTTAACAGTTACATCACTGCCCACTGCGCACTGCCAATTTTTCTCCATGCGCTTTTACAAACAGTTAAATACCGGAATATAGACCTACTCAATTGTATCGTGAACTATTATATGATCGTTTGACAGTTTTGTCGCTGGTGGATCTAACGAGAGCTGGGGCCGAAGGCTCACTCTTGTACTTAATTAACACTTTTGCGTGTTTCGTCTATTCTACCATGTCCCAGCTTTTCTGTTCGACGACCATCGACCCGTGTCTCTCTATTATATGTATTGTATTTATTTATATGACGAGGAACGAATTGTCTATACGAGAAATGATACGTCAATCTGTTCTATGTGATTTCAAGTATCACTTTTCTTCGCGCGTACGACCGTACGCGTATTTGTACGTTTCGTTTTTTGTACAAGTCGCGCGCGAATTCATCGAAGGAGGAGGGTCATTTTACAAAGTTTTGCGTCCACATGGAACGAAGGTAGAACGTTCTAGAATTTAAGTAAACGCGCACCGAAGCTGTGCACCGACTTGATTTCGCGTACATCGTATCAGTTCAACATGTGCATTTCACGTAACGTGATGATCGCGATTATGGAACGAATGTAACGATACGGAGAATGAAACTTGAACAGTTTCGATTGTATTTATAAGTTCATTTTGTTTTCATTTTTCCTGTAATCGTCTAGTTAAAATATTGTATACTTAACTTACCATCTCCTGAAGAGATATAACGAGAATTCTGTTGAATGAAGAAACGATAGCGTGTACTGTAAGTTCGGAAGAAATTATTTCAAATATTTTTATTTGTTGAACATATTTTATAATGATTTTATAAGGAGGAGTACGATCATTTTGTTTCGTAATCGAAAGAATTACAAACTATCCAGCCATATGTGAAACGAAATACTCAATTTTGTATAAAAGAAAAAGGAAACGAGAATAGTAGACATATTTATAAATGTACCTACTTTATACGTAGAGTATTATACATACTGTTTACATAGCAAGGTTCAATAAAAATTCAAAGCATACGTGTTTTTGCAATAGTTAGGAAAAAATCATTTGTGCGAGCGATGATTTTTTTTGTCTAATAAATTTACGGAATATAGAAATTACTTGTGAACACTGTTTCCATTTATTTGAATCAAACAACTGGACGTGTGGTCTTCCAGAATTACACTCAATTAATTTTCACATCAAACTCGGGCAAGTGTATAGTCTTAACACGATGTGAACCTTTGTAGGCATCATTAAGCCACTATCAAGCTTTATCGCCTACGAAATGATTTTCATTCAACGAACACTTTGTAGTAATAGAAACTGATATGATAGACTGAAAATTGCTATCCCTATCGTTTAAAAAATGGTTTTTAATCATGTTTCTTGGATCCAACAGCAGTATTCGTATTACCTATGTTGTATGAATACTACTAGTGGATATTACTTGAATCAATGTTATATTGTTATATGAAACGTGTGTCAGAGGCGATAAAGAGGGATGGTTCGTATTTAAATACGTTGTTAAAGATGTATCCGTACTTACAATAGAACTAATCCTTGAATTGTGGATGATACGTTTTTGATTGTACATATGTATTTCATATAAGATATTATTTATATTACTATTGTTCATATTGATATTTTTCTATAATCGAAAGGAAGTTAGTAAAAACCGTGTACAGTCCACGGAGCTGTTGGAATTGTGAAATCGACATTTTTTATAAAGTCAAATAAAAGGATTCGTTCGTAAATCGGGTAAAGTTAACGTCCACAATGTTGAGGATCGATCATTTTTCTAAGATGGGCATAGAAAACGTTCTCCTTTTTCTTAAACGTAGTCTTACATAGTACAGATTGACGTATGCTAGTATATTTGCACACATATTCGTAGAATACGTAAGCATCGTCTTTATACTGTCGGAAACTGAAGGATACTCCTGACAAGTGTGTGGTACGTCTTTAACGATCAGATTGTTCATTTTTAGAGTATCTCGTACGTGAAGTACGTAAAATACGTTCGAGCGCAATTCGATGGAAGGCCGTAATAATTACACCTTAATGTACATATACATTGTGCACATGCAAATTTCAATGAAATTCTGTTGTTTCTCTGAAGCATCGAAGAACACTAGTGCGCGCGGAAGAACGTTTGTAAAGGAACGAAACGGAGAGTGAGTTTTTTTAATTAATTACTGAGATTGTTATACTAGTTGCTACTCGAATTATTATTATGAAAAATTGATGATATTTAAACAAATCGTTTGTTCGCGGTGAAACGTCAACGTTCGAACATGCTCGCGACATCGGCAGAATTTCTCGGACAATTTGCACGCTCGACAGTTGACTCCATCCATCTGAAAAGCTTGTCAATTCTGCATTCAACGTACATGAAATATATGTACTGTATTGTAATTAATGGAAGAGATGTTGAGGCGGTTTATGAGTCGATTAGTAATGTCATGCTTCGTAGTATAGACGAATCCAAAACGTCGTGTCGAGTTTAAGATTATTCTTTGTTAAGCTTCGGAAAAAAAAGGATGGGGGGATGATCGTTCCCTGCGAGAATAATTTTAAATGTATTCGAGCTTGGGAATAGCGTACCGGGGAAAACAAAGGGGCTCGATTTCATTCCCGTGAATTTTCGAATGTAACTTTTCTCGTTGTATAGTCTACACATAACGTGAATTGTGTGCGAGTGTGTACGAAATACAGCTTTATGCGTGATCATGCGTGTGCGTGTGCATGTAGTTTCAACCCCCGAGGAATGCAGCCCTGAATGTAAATAGGATTCAACCCCCCATCGCGCATACACGTAGGTTTTAAGTAACACTCGAGAACGAAATGACTCTTGCCAAATTTTCAATGGGACGTAGGGACAAACAAATAAGCATTTGAAAAATTGCAAAAATATATTGGTATTATAAATGAACTCGATGTCCGTAGAATCTTTTCGAAATACCACGATGTTTAAAACTGTTTTCGTTTCATAAAATTAGATTCGTTTTATTTTATTCAACTTAACGTACACTTGTACAAAAAATCACCTTTATCAAATTACATTAAAAAAACTGCCTCACCAAGCGATGAAAGTATACGACAATATAAAAAGTAAAAATCTTAGGTGCAGCACAAATTCGGGAAATTTCGTGCCGTGTAAAATTAATATTAATCTAATTTGCTTGAAGTTCATTTATACTATCTTTGGCAAAACTTGTTCAGTTTCCTATAAGGAGTTATCAATATTTCATCTTATTGCATTCGCTAATTGTCGGCAGAACGCCGGCATTATAAAATTTCTTTTAAAGTCTTTCATCCATCTTAAAATATCGTCACGCTATTCGTGCAAGCGAGAGTTCATTCTACGCCCGACTTGACTTTGTACAATAACGATTTTTCCTGAGATTTCGTTGAGGACAGTGCCGGCGAATTGGACGAGGAATTCTTTGAGCTCTGAGCAGTACTTGTGCTTCGTTTATCCTGCTTTGTTTTCTTCATCATATCTTTCAATCTTCTGTCTGCGCTTATAATGTGTATATTCGGTGTTACTTTGTTCGCACTACCTATCAGAAGAGTGTCAACAATTTATTTTCATTTTGGAAATGTACATTGAAATATCCTTTCTGAAGATGGAAGAGACTTACTTGAATTCGATTTTTTCTGTTCTTTTGGTTTGCTTTCTATCACTGTCTTTGGTGAGCTCCTTTCTTTTGGGACCTACAAAATTTAAGGAAACAAATTCACCTTTATTCCGTAGTCACTTGTTCAGCCAGTTTCAAGAATGTACTCAAATGAGAAATATGACAAATTATAATGTGAGTGAATACACACACCTGAGATTTTGAGCAATTGGAACAATACCAGGCTAGTCCTGGAACATCGATCTGCGAATCTTCAATGAGTGGGATATGACATTCCTGATGATACAAGGAATGGCATCCTGAACACTCGACAAGCCTGTTCCTGGCTCCCACGTCCATCCCTTTACAAATAACACACGCCAGATCATCCTCTAATATTTCAAACGCTAACGTATTATCAGTTTGAATAATATCGGGCGGTGTGTCTCTCGTAGGTAAGTTCACAGGTGAGCTGTTCTTGCTGGACTTGCTTGAATGTTTGGAAGAAGACGAAGAAGAGCTCTTGCTTTTCTTGCTGCTGCTACCACTGCTATGATCGCTCAGTACTGGTTCCTCCATCATATACTAAAAACAGAAAATCCCATAGGTAGACACATAAAAATTAAATGATAATAGTTGTGCATACAGAGGGATCAAATACTGGATATCGTTTTACGTGAATGAAATCTCCTATGCTTCATGAGTGCCCTGATATCAGAACTAACTCTGTAATTATAATAACTTAATTAATATTATAATCACTGCGGTTCGTGTACTTTCTCTAGGTAACCCTGAACACCTGTTGGGATTGATTATTAGTCATTTACCTTTTTATGTAACACATTCGACAACATCTTTGATGGTCCATATTTTTGCTTGATCGCTTCGTCTAAAAGCGCACGTAATTGTTCCGCAGAATTCTTATTAGTCGAATGTAAGAGATGTAAGCCTTGCGTAAACTGAGGGTCCAGGTCCAGTTGCGACATTTTTATGTGATTTATTTGAATCTATGAAGTATAGAATAGACTTCAGGTTATATTTATTTTACAAATTATTCCTTGGATTCTACTCCTCCGATTTTCTAGTACTGTAGATATGTACGGGGCGTAATCAAGTAAGTTTATAGGAGTCCAAAATAATACTTGATTCGACTGCAAGCATATACATACATGCGTACATACGTGCCATACGTGTATGTATGCAGTGCTTAATCAATCTTTAAATAATACGAATAAAGATCACAGATTTGGATGCTCGCATAAAACATCTTTTCATGTCTCGTACACAGAAAATGGATTGTGTAACTAAAAGCAGGCGCATTTAGATAATCCATCGAAGTTTACGTTTACGCGTACAAATGAAAGTGTTTATGGGATCGTCTAATTCCGGTTTGGAATTTCTGATTTTTACTCGATTTTTTGTACGTTTTAAAAATACCGCCTGGGAAGCATGTATCCATATATGGGATCCTCATACGTTATGCATGTAAGAAAAAACATTGAAAGTTTATAAGAACATTGGCACCGGCATCGTACGATTCGGCCCTGATCCTCGTGTATTCCAAATTTAATTTTACAGAGTTTTGATTCCACGTTAAAATGAATGCGGTTTCCGTCTAGGGAGATATCTTTGCGAATAAAAAAATGTACATTTGCTAAAAGAACTGGCGGATGAATACGCGGGCACCGATCACGATTCGGGAAGAAATACTCACGCTGATAGCTGGGAAAAAATGGTGAAAAATACAAGCAAAGACGAAAATAGTAACCCTGCGGGCGATCAAGCGTGAGGGAACGAGAGTGAACGAGAGTCAAGTTATAATACTTGGTGGCTGGCTGGTGTTTGCGCCTGTTTCCATCTTCCTCTGTTCTATCGGTGAAGGTATGAACGCTTCCTTCTCGTTAGGCGCGTTAAAACGATGTTTAACTTTCGACGGGCAGTTGGCAGCCGTGCGTAAAAGAAATAAATAATCAAAGCGACCATGAAGTGACAAATAAAGTTGGAGAACAATGCTCGCGAATGGCAAGGAAATCTGAGTGCAGCGTGCATTGGCCCCCGTTCTATGTTTTGGATACGTCTTACGCGTTCACAACGTGGTGTTCCGTGCGACATTAGAGCCGGAGGTACGCTATGTACTCGCAGCGCATACGAGGCTGACATTTAGATATTTTCCTCGTCCCGATACCTCGCTGGTATTGGTCTTATATTCGTATTACTGTATCAGTCGGCCGCTGACAACCGAGATTCCTCCATGCGTAGGAATCCGATTCCGCGGTTACCTTAATTAAATGACTGAGAACAAGTTGAATCGGCGGTCACCAGAACTTCTTATTACGTCCGAGGATACAACAAGAAATCACGAAGACATGCCTTCCTCGAGAGTGCCGTTCCAGACAGTTTTTTAAGCACTAAGTTTGCATGGGTACCGGTCAACGATATTTTCGTTGTTAACCTCCAATGGTGACCTGCTAGTTTTCATCGTGTTGTTACACCGCGCCTCGCGGACAGTAGTGGCCATGTGTTTGATTTTCTCCCAGTTGACCAATGTCTGACAGGATTAAACTCATCTAGTAAGCTTCAAACATGAAAACAGAAAAGAAGCCCAGTGAACCAACTTGTGTACCAACCACTGTAGTGAAAGAGGAACCTGATACTGATCCAGTTAAGATCAAGGAAGAAGGTACTGGGGGCAATAACGATGATACAACTGGAGAGGATACGACTGAATGTACCAGGGATTCTTGTTTGGATCCATCAAATGGTGAAGGTGCATTGTCAGGAGAAAACCAAAATAATAGTGCAAATCAGCCAATTTTGAACTCAGTGAAACAAGAAGGTGATCATAACAATCCTACAGACGATATACCTGGTAGGCAGAAATGTAATTTCTGTGGGTTATTCATATTTCTTATATTTATAATTTTATCCTTGTGTTACCTGCTTCATTTGTTTTGTTATAGATTGTAGTGGTAATGTGATTACTGCAGATGGTATACAGCCACTAGTTAGTAATGTTCTTGGCAAACAAATGGGAACTAGCACAGGAAGTGGTGAAGCTCAGTATATGCAACAACAAAGTCAAATTTTCGTGTTTTCTACAACGTTAGCAAATAAAGGTGCAGATGCAGTGCTGCAAGGACAATATCCTTCCATTATTGCTTACCATTGTGCACAGCCAGGAACTAAAAAATATTTGGAGGTATGCAGCACGGTATCAGAGTATGTTCATTTCGTTTCATTTTATAATACATCATCGTTGCTTTAGAAACATCCAAATAAGGTGAATCAATTTCGTCAAAATCCTGCGCAATGGTTAAACAATCTTGCAATGATGAAACAGAAAGGCCATCAAGGGAGTGCAAATAATACGTTTCAAAATGAACAACCACCTGATCTGCCAACCCTTGATCCCAACGCTCCCCCATTTTGGAACGAGCAACCAAATCTAAGAAACTTGAACGGTGGAAATACTCTCGGGAATCCCGAACCATCATTGGATGACACAAACATAGACGTGCCTTGCCTTGTACCAAACTCACCTGGTAACACAGGTAATACGTAGTTCACATTAGCTTTCGGGATTGTCTCAATCAATTGTTGATATTTTTTTGTTCGACGCTCCTTTATGTACACGTTTATCATTAGAAGCATGTTTCATTACAGCGAATCCACAACCTCCTAATAGTACTGCAATGGGCCACAGTCCCAATTTATTAGGAGGTACAACCAGCCCAGGTCCAGGCAGTTTGCAACCATCGCTGCAAGGTGTAAAAGTTCCAGATGAAAATTTAACTCCGCAACAAAGGCAGCATCGAGAGGTTCAGTTAGCAACTATTAGGAAAATGCAAATGATGTTGTTTCCCGAGCACAAAGAAGAGCCGTCTAGTGCACTGGACGCAGCACAAGGCACAGCAGTATCGACGTGTCAGCAATCGAACGTTCCTTCGGTCGTGCCGACGCAGTGTCCTCCGACTATGGATTGGCATAAGTTGCAGCATCAGTTTCTCGATGGGAAGAACAAGGTAAAGCATACAAAATATTAAAAGATTCAAGCTCGAAGTACATTGATGATATGTGTATAATATTTATTTGTATTACAGGTCAGCGTTGGAAGTCCTGGAACCGGTGTTCCATTACGAGGTGCTAATATGGTAGGGGTTCCGCGTAGTCAAGGACCACCGCCACCATATCATCAAACCACGCGGTCCGCGAGCGTGCCGATTGCAATACAAAGTCCAAATCCTTCTTCACCCAACAATCCAACTAGCAATTTGTCGTTACCCTCACCTCGTGCGAGTTCGGCGCTCAATTCACCCGCGGACTGCAACAGACAGTTTCAACTCAGCAATCAAAGATCGGGTCATCTACCAGGACAAAGTCCGACCAGTCAAGACTCTCCGAATCCGACGGTTGGAAATGCATCGGCCGTATCGTCAACGAGACTTAATCATAGCAACCCAGGAACCCCTGTTTCCCATTCACACATCTCGACGCTAAGCCCCAGCGGACCAGCTGCTCAAAAAGATTCTTTGGACTTTCCTTCGAGTCAACCTCCCAATGGTAAGACCAACCGTTTTATTTTCTTTATCATAGCCAATTAAACTATCTTGAATTGTTGTTTGACATGTTGAATAATATTTTACGTTGAATTGCATTCGAAGGATTTTAATGCAAGATCTGAGTAACGCAAGGAATCCTCTTAATATTGTTAAATCAAATGTTTTAACAAGTTCACTACTTAAAAAAAATACGCGGTGATCTGATCGTGTTATGTTATTACGCAATAGTGGATGGTATGTTTTGCCGCACGCTGCAATCCTTAGCCCAGCAAAAGCAACACACTGGAGCGGTGAATGCGGCGGGAGTGAAGGAAGCGAATTTGATGCCGGTTCCGAGTCCTCAGCAGATCCAGTATCTCAACACCTTCGAGGGACAGGAACTGACTATTCAAAAGCAACCAAATACGAGTCTGAAAGATGGCAATTTGTCTACGTAAGTGTGTCCAAATTAAACGCCTGTTATTTTTTCATATAAATCGTATCTAATATTCTATCGTTTTGTGTGTTTAGAAACGCGGGCAGCAATACGGAGATGTCGAACAGAATTATGCCGGGAAGTTTGGACAGCAGTAATCAATTCCCGGCTAGGTCCGAAGGCGCGAGTCCTGTTCAAATGGATAGCATGAATCGTGGATTCACGGGCTCATTGCACAGTCCGCATACTCCTCATACTCCGCATACACCAGGCAACGGTGCCCCACACACTCCGGTTGATTCAGGAAAACCCGGAAACAAGTCGAGTGCGAGTGCACAAAGTAGTCCAGCGTCACACAATACAAACATACCCGACAGTATGGGTCCTCCGAGAACGGTACCAGCGTCGCCCACCACGAAACCAGATACATCTCCCCCGTCGACGAAAGATACTCAGCAGTCACAGGCTCAATCCCAGCAGCAGCAGCAACAACAACAACAGCAGCAGCAGCAGCAGCAGCAGCAGCAGCAGCAGCAGCAACAGCAGCAGCAACAACAACAGCAGCAGCAGCAACAACAACAACAACAACAACAACAACAACAACAACAACAACAACAGCAACAGCAGCAGCAACAACAACAGCAACAGCAACAGCAACAGCAGCAGCAGCAGCAAGCGGCGGTTGGGAATTCAAACAATTCCGGGAACACGTCAGGGGTACCTCCGATGGGAGGTCCAGGCGCTTCCTTTGCCTGCGGGAGACCATCTATAAACGTGAGTCAACCTTCAGACAATGTGCCTCTTAATCCTAACAATATCGGAGGGCGACTCGGCAGTCTAACCGCGATGAGTACAAATCACTTCGATCCTATTACTTCCTTGGCCCAAATGAGCCAACAGCTGACCAATACGGCAGCTAGCAACTCGTTAGGTAACGAAGGGCCGATGCATTCCGGGAACGCCGGGATGATGCAGTTCGGTAATCCACACGGTATGCATATGATGCAAATGGGCGGTGAGATGAACGGAAGTTGTCACATGGGTGGCCCAACTAGTGAACCGGGCGAAGTGGGGGGCATGTGCATGGGTCTAGCAGGGCCACCGACGAGCTATAGCCCAACGACGTCGCATACAGGAAGTCCCGGTGTACCTAGCAAAATGGGACATCCGATAATGGGTCACGGTATGATGAGTAGTCATTCGGGCAATGCTGCGGGAGCGTATCCTGGAGGCGATCCTCACGCGCCACCACCGAGATTAATGGCAGGACATGTCACTGGTCCAAGTCCTTATAACGGAGCGAACGTTCAAGTGAAACCCAGTGCTCCGAATACGATACAATATTTACCGGCGAGGCCCAACGTCGGTCACACGCCTAGAGGGCCGCCGAGTTTGGACTTCCTTCAAAGATTCACGAATCCTCTGTCCAATTTGGAATCAAAGATGGGCTCGCCGTCTGTGAATCTTCAGTACTTCCCGAACGGTTGCGTGCCGAACAGTATGGGTCCGCACAGCGGCATGCCGTCGTCCATGAGCGGCGGACTTCCCGGTATGGGCAGTTCTCCGAGGATGGACGGACAATCGATGAGCACGTCCGTCGGTGTGCACCCCTCGATGAGACCGGTCGGCAACATGAGACCTCAGTCGAATCTAATGCGGATGCAACACATGGTTGGCGGGGGCGTCTTTCCAGGCGGTTCGATGGATCCGGATAAAGTCTTCCCACCTGACATGGTGTCCCAAGTTCCCAATCAACCGAACCCCGGCATGTACGTGTCCGGCAGTAAAGGCAGCCCAATGGGATTGGGACCCCCGCCGGACGCGACCCAGCCGTTACCTCCGAGCATGGGTGGTGCTACTAGTAACTTCAAGAACAGTCCGTTCGTCGGTAGTGGGCCTAGTATGTCAGATCCGAATTATGCTCAACAATTCCATAACTTCCAGCAGCAACTTTACGCGACCGGAACAAGAGGTAGCGGACCGCCACATCCTAATCTACATCCACCGCCGAACTCGCATTCGCACCAACAGTTCTTCATGCCGAAATAAGAACGGAACGTGTGTGTGTGTGTGGTTTGTCTGATCCTGGAGAAATAGGTGTCGATGATTTTACGATTGTGGTGGCCTTTCTGTGTCCTTCTTCGGCGATTGCATTCAAATTAGGCCGGGGATGTAATTCTGATTAAAAAATGAACTTGCATTTTCGGTCAATGTTAAAACTTTATATACGAAATTATTCGCGCGCGATTCTGTAAAGGACTATAAAAAAGTCGAATTTGTTAAGGTTCTAATGTTGATGTGATGGATGATTACGAAGAATAATTAACGGTGAACCATTATCCGCGGTGATGGTTGATCGCGTGACTGGCATGGTGACAAGACTTCTCGTTCAATTCTTTATTTACGGTGTTGTTTATGTAATGTGTTATTATATCGATAAGCGTTTTATTCTTAAATTACATAGACATTGAAAAGCCTTCTTAATGTCTAACGCGTCTTCAAAAAAATCTGTTCCATCATCTAGAGGATATCGCTTTTTCGTATCAGAATTCTCTTTCTCTCTGTAAATTGGAAACATATTACGAACTTGCGTAGACGTACGCGGTCCTTGTAAATACTAATGTAAAATCTGATTTCTTCGTAGTAATCGTAATTTCGTCGATCGGAATGTACGATGATCGTTGCTAGAGATTCTCGAATCAGAAAAAACAGCGGAACGAAAAACTTAACGACAAAAGACAAAGGTGAATATAAATGCGTCTCATCTTCCCTTTTATTTGAACGGTTGACACTCGCGGTATATTATTACTGCGCGAGGATTTATCCAAGTATTTGAAAGGAACGACGAGAAGCTACGTCGGCGAACGATTCATCCTTCCTTTTATCATTAAATACTTAAAGAGAAAAAGAAAAAATGCAGTCAGACAAGCTCAAATTCATAATTGTACATATATACGATATACATATATATATATACATATATATATATTATATATATATATTACCTGTTGCAACATACTCCTTTAAAACAGTATCGCCCGTCCCTTCTATTCCCCTCACCGATTTCCCTTTCGTGACCAACACTGTGCATAATCATGACCCAACGTAGTATAACAATTATAAGGAAAAAAGAGTAATTGACTAAGAACAATTATGTTGTTGATGAATGATTTTTATTATAAATGAAAAATAAAGATATTTACAAGAAGTCAGTATCAGAATTCGATCGATAATGAATTTCGTGGCTATCTCAAAGCGAGTGATGGAGTCTTTCTTTTTCGATAAACTTTATTTTCTTTCTTTTTCGCCGCTTTTGTCGAGAACCGAACGCAGACTCGTTTCAGACATGGCGACGACCTCGCGTCGCAATTTTTTTTGGTCGATCGAAAAAAGCAGGCTGCTACCAGCGCTTGTTTGGATCTGTGATAGTCAAAGCGAAAGAAAGTGTATCCTTTTTCTCTTCATTCCGAAGACATCGATACATATCTATATTCAATTAGGGAATGACTCTTTAATACTACATTACGTTTACTTAATTTTTACATATTGTGCACGAAATGAGAGAGAGAGAGAAAGGATGAGAAAATGAGAACGAGAAAGTGAGAAGAGCAGGTGCAAAGAAATAGAAAGTAGAAAGTGAGAAGAAAAATCTTTTTCGAAGTAGCTTAACACATTCAATGCAGGCGATGTGAACGTATGCGTCTTGGCGGATTTTCTATTCTTCAATGGATAACGCGTATGTTCGCATCAATAGTCTTGTATAAAAAAAAAAACGATTCCTGTTATTAGAGACCGCCCTCGGTATCGCATTGAACGTGTTAAGCAATATTTTTTAAGTGATTTGACATTGACGTTAGTACGAGATAACATCGTGCGTTTTGTGATAACGTAATTAGAGAACTTTTTTAAAAGCGTGTGACGATGATAGAGATCTTTCCTCGGAGATTTTATATTTTCGATTAGAAATAAGATTTCTTCTACGAATTCGTAATTCAGAATTTTTACAACGAATCGTTTAACACATCGTCCATAAAATTATCTCATATAATTACAGGTTTCATTCTGTTTCTTCTTTTTTTCTTCATTTTCACTTACTAACGAAATATTCTACCTGCGCCAAGTATTTTACGAATTTTTGCATCACTATTGCAATATTTAGGGCAATATTGCGCAAAATAAGTAACCTACATTTCACTCTCCATCCACAAAGTCAAACGAAGCTAGGAGTTCAGTCACGAAATGTAAAGCTTATTTTTGTTAATCGATTCCCTTTGTGATAAGTTGTGTATTGTCCATCACATTTTATTCAAAGGTGCTCGCTAAATCACTAAATTTGTTGCGTTCCGTTACATCTTTTAGAGCAACCGTGCTCAGTCTGGATTTTCTTTTACCTGTAAAAAAATATTCATTTAACGAGTATTGTATGGTAAATTCCTCGAACTTGCTAAATTAAAATCTTCCTTTTGACCATGCCATTATTTAAGGTTTAATATTTAGGGGTTCTTGATAATACTCTCTTGAAAAAGGCATAAGCCAAAAGTTTCGTTTAGCAATTTTCTCAATTAATGCTGAGATTAATTGGTCGCGATCAATTTTGTACCCGAAACCCAGGTCAAACCTTTCCTTCTGCGCAGCTTCTCATTGACTGGATGTCCCTGAATCGCGCCAGTCGTCTTTGTCTCTATAAAAAGCGATATTGCGATCGCATGAAACGTTTCTCGACATTGCTCAATCGACATGATCATATCGCTTCGAAAACTCTTTAACGATTGCACGTAATTCTTCGTCTCTATCACCTACCTTGATTGTTGCTCTTCCAAAGATGCAGTGCTGCCGTTCGTACTGAAAATGAATAGCGTTTAAATACACTCTAAGCGATTATCGGTCATCCGAAAATTTACTTTTTCTTAACAGCGAAATCGTCCCATTCGCTGAGATCGTATTTCGATAAATCGCCCTCTTCATCGTCTTCCTCTTCTTCGTCTTCGTCCTGAAATTCGAACACACGTTTCAAATGTTCGATTTCTTCGTTACATATCGTCATCGTTAAGCGTTCAAATTACGTGTTGCTCTTCTCGTTCTTGTTCTTCCTCTTCCACTTCGCCCCTCTCATCCTCGTCTTTGGACTTGTTCCTGGGTGGACTGCTATACCTAGAATCTTTGGAATCATCGTCAGAGCGATTCTCGATCCTCCGTTTCTTTCTACGACGCCCGAATTCATCGTACTCGTCATCGTCGTCTCTCCTCTCTTTATACTCGACGACTCCCCGATCATTGTAGCCTCCTCCATATCCCGTGCGTTCCTCGACTTCGCCGAATTTCGGTGCGTTGCACATGTTGCACTGCTGCCGCCGGGCCCAATTTACGTTTCCACATTTACTGCACTGCCAATCGTCAGCACTACAACGAATAAGCATCGCGTACAGTACGAACAAATTCGCGTTATCGAATTCATCCTCGCTCTTTCTAAAGTCATTCTACACGACAATGAAAATCTCATTCGCTTTGTTACTCATGTATCTATTTTATTTATTTCTTGTAAATACTTTACAAAAATACTAGACACTTATTGAAAGTTAAAGAAAGATATACGACGTGTACAACTGTGTATATTATTGAAATAAAATTATTAATCATTTAAGCGAGAGTCAAAGATCGAATTACAACGACGACGCAGCTTGTTTAGGGTATTATGATCTCATGCTTTTTCCAAGTACCTGAACAATCCTCTGCTCTTCTCTGCAGCTGCTTTGCCAATTTCTTGTCCTAGTTTCTTTTTCTTCGGACATTCTCCTCTGTCTATAAGAGCATATTTTTTGTTGATACATACACGCATGTACAAGAAACATAAGTATATACACCTATCAATTTTTATATACCTTTTCCACATCTATTACAAGAATTTCTTCTTGCAAAGTTTACATTAGCACATCTGAAAGATTAAACGTCATCTTGACAATGATGAATAGCTGTTTTATTCTGCGTACAAATGTTTAACAAATGTACATTGCATTCAAGAATTTGATTAATTGCCAAGTCAGCCCGAAGCTATAATAGTACAATAAATAATAATGTACTTTATCAAAATTCATGTGAAACTCAAGCACAGGAAATTGTCTAATACAATTAGACACGTATTTGTCTAACAAACAGTTCTTTTTATTATCCACAATAACAATAAGTTTAATGAGAAGAATAAAATAACTGGCGTTCACCGACGCAATGACAATATGAACAAACGATAACTGGCACGTAAAGGTAATTGACAAATATTACGATTGTATGAAAAATTCGATTATAAAACGTAAAGCTGATTTCATACAAGCCGACGTTATCTGTAGAATATTACGTACTGCGAATCGGGGCAGATCCAGTCGCCGTCATTGATACTTCGTTGATTCTCGTCATCTACTTTAGCACTATCCATTTTCCGTTTGATTTTATTGTTTGCGAGACCGGGCCTGCTTTCCTATTTTATCGCGCTTTCATTGGACTTTACGCTTGACCGTTCTTTATCCGAGATGTCTCTAACCTGTAGACGGTTTCCCTTTTCCGGACGTCCTGTTTAAAATCCCTCGATTGAGGGAATCAATTTCTCCGAAGTTCTCTGGCAATCGTGCAATTTTATTTAAACACCTCCAGTACATTTGCTATCTATCACATTATGTTTTACATACAAATTAATGCACTGAAAATTCTGTGCACTGCGCTATACCCAGCTATACCAGTGCAGCATTTAATGGTACGATAGTACGATCACACACCACTTATGAAAGTTACGAATCGAAAACCTGTGGCGTGGCGGTCTCGAAGCTATATAAATCGTGAAACACCTTTTAATTGATTAATGGGAAAGCTCGATCCGTCAAAGTAAAATATAACGAACATCGTTTGACATCGTTCTGTTCGATAAGAGTGTTAACTGAATATCTAACAAGTGTTTTCCATGTACAGCATTATACACGTTCGCGAATAAAAATTTTATATACATTTTATTGTTACGAGTTCTTTGAAACTCTAATTTACGTTGTTCCTGCGATGATAAATCATTCTATATAATTGCAATGAATTATTGTACATAGTACGTATATCTTCAAATATTTTCATCCTCTGTCTCCCACATTATTTATTTTTTATCTAAAGTTAAAAATTAGGTGCAAAATCGTGATCGTGCACAAGGGGAAACAATAAATGTAAAATTGTTTAATTCAGTATAGTATCTCCTCGGTGAACATGCGAAGGTTGCCATTGCCCGCCAATGTTACTTTTTAGTTCCATCTGCTTCCAAATATTATTCAGAGTCGCCACTTACTTGATGAACACAAATAAGTTTTCAGTTCGTCGTGTTTTGCATTAAAAAAATTAACGTATTTGAAGAAGCCGGTGTTGGAAAACCATGACGTACGTATTCTGGCTATAAAACTTTATTTAGAAACAATATCGAATACATAAATGCACGTAATGTCTCGAAACGTTATCTTGATCGTTAAACATATGTTTGGTACTTTGCCGTATCGCATTTGGTAAAAATTGTCAGGACGTTAATAACAAAATTGTTAATTTGTTACAGGTCTAAAGTCACTTTTAAAATAACTCTGACCTCTGATCCAAAATTACCATTCAAAGTGTAAGTCTAGTTACAAATGACATTCTACGATAATTACTTTTAATGTAAAAAGCGCAAATTGATTTTGTAAATAACATGTCAGAGCACGAGTTTGTTGAAATATTGAAAATGTTCGATACATTCATTGTCCTTATAGAGAATCCAACTGTTTCCGGACAAATGAACATTGAGAATGTTCTTAAAGCTTTTCAGTGTGCTCAATTTATTGAGCTCACTATTAATAAAGCATACGAGGTAGGGAAAGAAACTGTGCTCGAGAACAATCTTCAGAAGCATTGGTTGAAGGAGGGTAGATCAGATTTCTATAAGTGCTCAGAATTTAGGAAAGCGTGTGATAAGTTATTAGAGATTTATTTGAAGGACACCAATGTTTCGATCGACGTGGTGGATGAATTATTTAAACTATATGTTCAGCATTGTGGTACTGACAGACTAAATGATTTCGTTAAACAAATTTTGATCAATGGAATATGTACAAATATAATTGTAGGATCGTTGGAAAAATTAGGTATTGATGCTTTAGATATACAGCAAGATGCTTTAATCATGTCTTGGGAATTGTTAATTAGCAGAGGTGACGAGAATGAGGTTTCAGATTGTATTCGTAAGGTGCTTAACGATGGCTTTCATTCGAAACTAGTCCACGTTGCTGTCAATTTGCAAAGTAGCAGTAACGTCAAGAGATTAATAATTACTGCATTGTCAAGTAGACTTATGAGTAACGATGTAAACGTTTGCTTAGCTCTGATAAATTTAAAGAAAGCACCGCTTTTCAAATTAATGCTGAATAATTCTGAACTTTATACGTATTTTCTTGACTGCCTGTTTTACTTCGCACGAAATATGAAGCAAGTCGATAATCAGTGGATATCAAAATGCGAATTCGAATACGAGCATCTTGTTAAGACGATAGAAGTGTTATTAGATGGTCCTCCGGAAATTTCGAAAATCACGCACAACAGAATGCAAATAGTTAAAACACAATCCGGTGGTACGATATGGCGTAAAATTGAAAACGATATTAGATGGTAATTGCACAATCCTTGTACAGTACTAAAATTTTTTGTTATTTAGATAATATATAATTCACTTGAAGGTTGAATTAAGTTAGTATATCATTCATTTGAGGCATCAGACAAAAATTTTCGTGAGACTTTCCAATACGTTGCATTTGACATTGCAGACTTAGTGTGCCAGATAACACACCTTTTACTGCTGTATTAAAATTTGCTGCTGAGGAATTTAAAGTGTCGCCGTCGACTTCCGCGATAATCACAGATGATGGAATAGGTATAAATCCACAGCAGACAGCAGGTGATTATCACAAGTTCCAAGCGGATTCGGAATTCTATAAGCGACGCACGTATAATTTTCTTAATTTCAGGGAATGTGTTTCTTAAACATGGTTCTGAACTCAGATTGATACCCAGAGACAGAGTCGGGTTTGGAAGATGATTCGTCTAAGTCCTAATAAAATGTGTATCTCTTTCGTGAACGTTCGTCGTCTACGTGCAAATTATTTCTTTGTTACGACTTTAATTAGCGAAAGAAATGGCTACATTTTTATATAACAGAGATTTGTTGTTTATATATAAATTTAAATAAAAGAACATTCCTAACGTTTTATAAGTCGTGCCTCGTTCAATAAGTTATTCAGGAAGGTAACGTTTAAACACATCGGATATACATCTTTGATAAAAAGATTTTATAAGTGAAATACATGTAAGAGGTATAAGGTCGATACAAAGGTATGTAACTACATGATAAAATTACTTAGCGATCAGTCATAGCGCAATATTGAACACTAAGAAACTTCTTGTTGCAGTTGAAACAATTCTTCAAATCGCATCTTACCAAAGATAGTATCAATTATATGGGGATTGCATATATACTGTTTATTATGGAAAAGATGTTGCACATGATATTATGAGAGATCAGCAAATTAATTGTAACTTATTATATGGCTTTCGATTTGTTACGTGGGCTATAGAAAATCGGAATGGCAATTAAGTATGCAACAACGACGTTTCTTAGTTCTAGAATATCTGACGGATAATTATTTAGACATACAAATGTGAATTACGACGCGGATGATGTAAATGGCAGCAATATTTTCTCCTTTCATAGCGAAGTATTAACTTGTTCCTCTATTTTTCTTTTACTTTCGACGGGTATAAAAGGTATAAAGATGGGGCGTGTGAGAAATGGTAAGAAAACTATTCGCAATCTCTCTAAATGCTTTAAGACGTTCAATGCAGCAGAGCGGGGAACTTAATTATTAAGTTTTTCGTCTGACCTTTCGAAGTCTTTGGCACCTGCTTAATTTTTTACGGTTTCATGATTCTGTGCCCTTTTCTATGAAAAAATACAAAATGGAATGTTGGATCGTTGAGCAAACCGAGCAATGATCGTATGGTTCATCGTGCATCCGGCTATGAGCTAAGATTTCAGCGAAAGGGCATAGCACCATCGGTTGAATTTCTCGTTCTCTTTACACACGATTAATAAGTTACCGATTCTCGAATATAAAAGTACAAAATGTGCGTAATTTACACGCGGAAACGTAAATTCCATGTCCACCTGTCAGATTTATCAAGACTCGATATACTATAAGAGATGGAGGGATTTCTTTCTTCATACAAAAGTGCATTCAATCGCAGATAAGAGTAGGAACACCATTTGTATCCTTATTAATTACGAGAAACTATCGTTACGGATAATTAGACACATTCGTCGTATTAGAAACTGATCTATCTAAATGGAGTTTGTACAAAATTGTAAACGAGGTAAATCATTCTATCGCCCTTAAATTTCTATTAGACCATTAAGATTCCTCAGTGTATATCATATAGACAAAATATGCGTATCTTTATACTAGGTGCAATCTAAAAACTTTTTTCTCGTTCCCAAGAAACATGGAATTCACGTTTCAGCGTTCTAATCGTAGATGAAGGTTGAATCGAAAAAATGGTTCCACGTTATCGTACACTCGGTGAATCCTCGAAGCCTTTTGTTTTTACAGACACTTGGCGCATATGAAAGAGTATAAAAATGTTAATTTGAGGATGACCCGCTATGTTTCATGCATACGTCGCCGAATTTTACCAGCCAAATCGTGGAAAACGTACAGTTACCGTGTGCATAACTTCGCCGTATAACGTAATCGTTCTCTTCTTAATTAGTACGTGTAACTTCACGTTTGCCTTACGTAGCATGTGCGTCTTGTATGTTTTTACTATGTATCGTAAAAAAAAACGTCTATTCTTGATTCATGAAAAAAATATCATTCGTTACCACACGTATGATGTTTACATTACGATAATGTATAGACTAAGATATCATTGATAATGTTAAATAAAGATACGTGGCACTAATAGATATATACGTGTCTTATAAATCATATTATTTCTCGCAGAAATTTCTTGTATAGATTCTTATATGCGATTAATAAATGGCATATCTTAAAGCATTTTCAAATCTTAAAAGTAAGAGTACGGAATTATAGAGTAGACTCATTTTTACTCAACGCTAACTTGGGGACCGATAATCTCAAAGTTCCACAATTCCTTTAGAATGATAATAAAGCTCGAAACTATTTTCGTCTTTTTACGATAATTATCCTACATAATTATCTATGCCAATGAAACAAATAATAGAATCGAGCGGAAATTAGTTTGCGTAAGAACTGCATCTCTTTTTTTTAAATTTCTTAAGTTAACAAACTAGGTAATTATATCTAAGTGAAAAAATTACCACCATTAAACAAATCGCACACGTATCGTTAGCCGCTCTGAATGGGAATTCTTTTAGAAGTATCATTCCAATTATAAATATCTCTTACCGCGGACGACGTTAATACCGAAATACTTCCGCTTATGCCGTAGCCTTCAACTTACAAATAAATTATGTTTCAAACAGCTACGTTTAAAATTATTTTATCTTACCGCTGTATTTTCATGACCTACCGACGCCGCACGATCTTCACTCATCCTGTAACAATGCAATTAGTGCAATCCATCAGAGATCAATGTTTTTAATTACATTCTCGTTTAAAAACTTCACAACAACTATTACCCACCCATTCGTGCTCGTCTACACCTTCCATTTGATCCTGTTCTAAGGTGCCCTCAATTATATCTCCCACAAAGTTGCTCATAGTTTTCTGCATCTACCACACATACATTGACAACACGTTCAGACGAAATGAGACACCGAAGTACAAAACAAAACTCATGCCGAATTGTTCTTATATCGACGTACCTCTTCCTGTTTAGCTTTCACGTCAGGATTCCATCCGAGTCTGCTGAAAGGTTGAGCAGACATAGAGAACAACGATTTCTCAGTAGTCGATTCTTTCTTCACTGCGACCGGTGGAGCGACCACTGCTTGGCCTTGATTCTCAGTTACTGGAACAGAAACAATTGTAATGATTGTTGTTAAATCGGGAATAGTATTTTTCACTCTTACGTACAATTGTCCATGCCAGGTGGTTTTAGACTTATTCTGTATGCCTGCTTGTTAGCTCCGTTAAGCCATTCTGTAGCAGTCATAGTTGGCTTCCATGTAACTTTTGTCGGTGGAAACAAGTCGTCTTGGAATAGTTCGCTCTATAAAAATTACGATCGACGAATTACAATTCTGTGGTACTTTTGTGAATCATCAAATTTACCTTTATACGCGGGACAGTGAAACTCAACGGTTCTATTGTATTGTTCGTTAATCTTAAAGCCGACGCGAACTCCACGCTAGCAACGTCGCACTTATTTTTAGGAAGAAACGACAAACCCTGATGCAAACTGCTACATCGATGATGACTAAGTGGACAACAGTACGGCGGTTCTTCCGTCACTTCAAAAGCATATATCGTCGAATCACCCTAAAAATAGCTTATTTATAGAAATCACGGGCGATCAATTAAACAGAAGGTGAAACTTACGCGTCCGGTTAAAAAAAGGGTCGAACTGTCCTCGTCGTAGTATGGCATTAAAATTGCGGGCGATACGTCTAATCCGACGGTAGTCAGCGGAGTGTTAAGATTGTCTGCCTTGAACACGTATATTTGTCTCTCCGAAACCCTTAAGCAAAAATTCATACGATAAAAAATCATCATAACAATTTTAAAAACGTATAAGTTTCTACTACGTACTTGTCGAAGCCCATCACAACGAGAAATTGTCCTTTTAATGCCCACACAACCCGCGCGCCCCTGGTACCAACTGGTCCTTTACCAGTTTTCACTGGTACGTCGCTGGATCTTGGTTTGTAGATCCGCAATTTTCCATCTTTGCACGCGCTAGCAAGATATTGACCGCACGGTGACCACGCCAAGCTGAAGATCTGATCGGTGTGGCCCATCAGTGTTATCTTCGCGACTGCCGTCTCGCAAGATGAGAGAAGAGTTAGATCCCAAATTTTGATGGTCATGTCGTAAGAGGCCGAAGCAAGAACGTCCGACGCGAGTGGATGAAATTTGATTAAGTATATCTTGTCGGTGTGAGCTTTTATAATATGCTTTGGTTCGTTCGTCGGTTCTGTTAGTCCGGATTCTGGTATCTCCCATAGCCGGATCATTCCATCATCGCACGCTAAATAAATATTATGTGACAAATCTTGTACGACAACGCGTTAAGCTGATAGCAAAATATGTTTAATTCCTTTACCGACAGCTAATCGCTGATTATCGAACGGATCCCAATGGAAATCCATTACACTGGCACCGTGTACCAACGCTGGCATAACACCGTCCGGTAATCTTCCCGTTTTCTTCAATTCGAGAACCGCTATCTTGCCACCTGGTCCACTCAGCGGTACCGCGACTCGATCGGGATTAGCTACAATCGAATATCAGTTAAATGAAGAATGAAATGATCCAAAGCGAATATGAATTACCGTGGAAACCGTCGCATTCTCCGGATATCTGTTGACTGATATTTTTTATATTTTCAATGTGCGTAGATTTATGACCAGGAGTACCCTTTAAGTGCCGGAATTTTGATACTCTACCTGCACGGGACAAATGCAATTATTTATACACTTATTTTCTACGAAAGAAGAAAATCTAGTTTTCATTTCTTCATATTCTTTTACCAAACACAGTCGATGTTCTCTTGGGCGCTGGCGTCACAGTATTGTCCACCTTCTCTAATCGTGGATCCACGCTCTGCTGACGTAACATTGAGATGACTTTCTTGACTTCGTCCTCCTTGATCACTTCGCTTTTGGTTTTGAAAGAATCTCTGCGTCTCAGCATCGTCGGCGACCCCATTGCTTTCTCGGCCAAGTTCCCATCGGTGACGGACACTGAACGACTCTCGTACAGCCTCCTCCTTTCAGCGATCGAATTTCTGTTTGCGCCACCCCGTTCGAAATTTCCAAGATCTTCGCTTTCGGGCGATTCATCTTTCACTTTTATCTCGAAGACTTTACGCCTCTCTGCCGTGCTCGGTGTTTTCGGCTTGTAACCGGAGTCGCTCGAATACGCGTCCTCTTCGAGGGAACTAGAGTCGCTCTTCCCATTCTCCGTTTCCTTCACGCGTTCGTTATTAAACGACGACGATTTTTCTGGTTCCGTGTTATTATCAACTTGATTGTTCACATCGTTCTGATAGCCATTCGTATCGCTGTTTGGCGCAACAGGAACCGAGAAGATTTTGTCGAAAGAAAATTCCTGGCTACCAGACTTTGCTTGAAATGGTTTCGGTCCAAGTCGCGGCTAGAAACAGGGAAGGAATCATCCGTTAACTTTTTATTACAGGATTCTGTTTTCGATGAATTATGAGATGAACGTAATGGAACATGAAATGATACATGATCGTGCACGATATCATCAGGCATACAGAAGTAGAACATTTTGTATCTCTAACGTTATTATTTTTTGATGACCAGATTACAACCTTGTATCCCCCAATCGCATTAGGGTTCACGGATGTAACCACTGAGCCCACGCTCGGCGATGTGCGGGGGCGTGCGACTGGCTTCGGTTCATCCTCAGAAATGCTATTAGTTCTTGACGACCTTGGCAATGGTTTCGGCGGAATCGTTTGTCCGCCGTTTTGCTTGTTCTTCTCGTCCTCGATCTCGATCTTCTTCGGTTCTTCTATCTTCTCGATATCATTCTCGGCCAGAATCGGTTCTTTCTCGATCATCTCTTGTGCAGTTTTAACGTGAGCCTTCTGCGAGACGATGGGTATAGGCTTTGACTGTTTCTGCTCCACTTTTATCTCTCGTTCATTCTCTTTCAGCGTGACTAAGTTTCCTTTGTGTACCTGAGGGTACGGTAAATTCCTTAGTGCCGCAAACTGTTCGAACCCCGGATTCTTAAGATTGTTTCTCTACTCGGGCATTATCGACGCTACAGAATTTCTACAAGCCCCTCACGTATACATACATATTGTTTGCTCGTTTAGAAATGCACGGCACTCTTAGTCTATTTACATTTGAACGTGAAAAGGTTTGGAAATAATTATGTACAAAAAAAAGTGAATGCATTGAAACGGTTTCCTATGAACATAAAAATAGCTACGTCTCACGCGTCATACTTAGAATTACTTACGCTGATAGAATAAGCTACAGTACATCAATTGCCACTTAAATTACACGTGCCAGGAATAACACTTTGAACGGGGCTAACGCATAAACTATAAAACATACATTGGATATCTGAAACGTGAAAAAATATACAAAGAATATGAGGAAACAAAAACAATCACGATGCAAAATCAAATTTACATATTTGGTACGAAATGCATGTGTAAAGATTGAGTGAATCCAAATTCAAATTATGTTCTACTTCTATATTACTTTCTCATGATACACAAACGACAACTCATTTAATTATCTGATACTTCCAAGACTGGGAGGAGGTAATGGAATGAAATGATGATGATAAGCGTGCAATTGAGAACATAAATTATATATAAATAAACTTGTTATACAATACATTTTGTTATAAAAAATAATCGATATTCTATGTACATCACTAAAGTATACTACTCTGTAATCTTGAAGCCTAAGAAATGCCCCAGAACAATGGCAGCATCTACTCACGGTAATGGGTTCCTCTCCCTTATTTCTCTTCGCGGGGTCTAACGATATCTTCGGAACAGGTGCATTATGCCCTTTGACCCAGGCTGCTGCGTTATTCTGCGCGATACAACCTACTGTATCAGGATATATGTCCGCATGGAAATCCCTGTATGTCTACAATTCAAGTTTCAATAATGTTTCGATAGTTCAGCAAATTATGAGCCGAGCTTTTGTCATTTCACTTACTTTTCGCGGAACTTGATACATAATCGGTATCACCATGTTCGAGGTGAGCTGCAGTAATCTATTTACCTCGGCCTGCATCACGTTCAGTGCTCGCTTCGGTACCAAGCAAACACCTTTTGTTTGTTCACCGCTGTGGCGAATTCCTTCGACTAAGAACGGATCTTTGTCCATTACTTCCATGTACATAATGGTAGTGTCCCCTTTTCCAGCTAGGAAAAGCATGTTTGTGTCAGGATCAAAGAGAGGCATCAGAATCCTGAAACATAAACCATATTTTAATACAACGGTACCACAATTGTAAATACTTTAATCCTTACCCTGTGCTACAGTCCAGTTCTAAAGTCTTCACTGGTTCGTTCAGATGCCTCAGATCTCTGATATAAACTTGTCTCAGTCTCGCAGCGTCGAATCCCGTGGTGAGTATTCTATCACTGTTCAACCAAACGATCCTAGAATCCTTGATGCTCTGGTGACTGGAACAGGAATTGACAATGCAAGTGGAAGCACGGGGATCTATGATCCTCACTTGTTTGTCCTTGCAAGATGTAGCCAAGAGCACACCGTCCTGTTTCCAGCTTAATGATTGAATAACATCCCCGTGTTCATTATTAGCTGCGATAAAACGAAATAAAGTTAAATGAACTGTAAATGAAGAATATCTCTTTCAGATTGAAATATTTCAATTACAAAACAATTCCTGTTGCGAAAGCACATCCCACAATGAGAGGTTCATGTACGACACTGTTGTGAGAAGATGTTCAGCTGAAGGATGCCAGCATACCACTTCCACTCTTCTTTGACGATGAGAGAACGTGCATTCAGGATTGACTAGAGGTTCCTCCAAGCCAGCTTCCGGGATGTGCCATAGCTTCACCTACGACAATTTGTTATTTAATTAATCATTAATAATTGAAAAGGAATATAATTAACTTACAAGACAATCTTGTGAACCGGTGGCCAATAAACCATCGTGAAAGGGAGAGAAATCCATGTCTGTCACTGTGTCCGCATGAGCATGGAGTAAAGGCATAGTTTTGCTCTTCCTGCCGTAGTCCTCCAACGGTAGTACAGCAAGATTAGATCCTGGTTAATAGGATCGAAAGATAGAAGACACACGGTCGAAGTAAAATGTTTTGTATGAACGAGAGCAAATGTACCATTGTGGTCTACGTTAAATGCCATGAAAGCAGCTGATGCCGTAATGTTATTGCCATAAGTTTGATAGGAACCAACTGAGATATCCCTGATGCAGGCCTCCGGCTTGGGAACGATCGGGGCCGCATTTTTATACTTGGATGCTTTAAAACGCCAAGCCATTTTGACGTTTCCTACGGGGTAACTTTTCGATCAGCGTCTCTGCTTAAATCATGTAATCTGTTGAGAAATTATATCGCACGTAAACAACACACTCCTCCGGTTCGTTTAATCCGCGAAGTCTCGTCTGGTTCGTGTTTTAAATGAAATATTCGCGAGGAAGACTACGGATCTGGATTCAGTTGAATTCCCCTTATCGGATAAGTCGTACTTGTGTCTTAATAAACATATACGGAAGATAACGCCAACGAAGGGTTCCCCGACACTGGTACAAAGCTGTGCATGACTAATAATTTGGGGGTGAGAACCACCCCACCCTTGTCCGTACGTCCGCAAGTAATAACAGTGGCAGCGAAACGCGGCTACCCCGACCGGAAAAAATGAACACGATATATTGTTTTACTCACAAGCCGCTGCTCGGCGTGGCTTTGCACGCTTTCCACAGGATATTTAGCAGAGAATTAAAATTCAGCAGGGACCGACCCGTGACTATAAACACAACGACGATGGCAGGTAGGCGTCTCTGATCTCCACGGCTGACAGGCGGAAACAGGAAAATCCCCCTCCAAGAAGGATCTCCTATCTCTCTCGATCACAGTCGTGTGATACAGTGTGTTCCATAAAGAAAAGCAAACATAAATCTACATAAATCGTTGCATCCAAACAAGGAATAGATAACCAGAGTAACATTACAATTTTTCTTTTCACACATAAATACGTGATGGAGGGAAAATCCAAGGGTATTGCACTTTATTTAAGGAGCTCGTTATCGTAATTGTACAGAATTTTTATTAAACATTTGTACATTTGTACTTTTAAGGCACATTGTATAATATGCAGCTACGTTCCGAAATCAGCTGCGAGTACAGACAATATATTGGCCTTCGTTCTATCCGAGAGAAATGGCGATGATTTCAGTACTGAAAATGTTAATGATGTCAACGATCTACAACAGCTCCTTAAGTTACAATCTACCATTCGCTAATGAACGTTGTTTGTCATTCATCGGATTGATTGCTTGGGGCTCTGTTGTTAGTAAATCTATGAATCATGAAAGAGATACGAAGATGGGTATCGGTTCGCGCAAACGCGGAAGGATCGCTCCTACATGAATTTACATTTAAGTTCAAACGTAGAACTCCGCTTGTTCGTCTCTGTTACTCACTTAACAAAGCCAGCTGCAACAGCGGAATAACTTTTAAAGAGGATAAGTCTGCCAAAACAGCCTGAAACATATCGTTTATACAGCACAGTATAAATTAACTAAGTTGTTCTCGTTTTACCTCGACGGTCTGCTGATTGTTCACTTGCATTAAATTTTCTTTGCGAAAACTCAATATAGCGACCGCGAGTAAAGAGATAATTTCCAGCGAGTCGTAACCCAAAATTAAGTCCCATAGATACAGCAATTGTTCTGGTGGTAAATGACCGCTGAACCCTCTCATGAGCCATTTGAATACCACTTTTACCCTAAATGTAATGATTAATTAACCCAATTATATTGCGATCGAGCAAAGACCGAACTTACGGTTGTATATGAATGTTCCTGAAATGTATCCAAAGCAAAGGTTCGTGGCATTGCAGCAATCTCTCGAATAGCAAGCACAATGCCACAATACCTTGCTCGTGATTCGAAACTGTATGCAATCGGAACCAATATCGCAGATAAAACGCTCTGAACGTATAGTACATCGCGCACGGATCATCGTACAAGTAACAGAACGGTGTAGCTGAAAATCGTTCTACTTAAATTACATTCGATACATTTAATTATGAATACTACGTATCTCTTTTATACCATACATCGTGAATCCGTGAAACGGAATCACACCACTCGGTGGGAACACCAGAGTATTTTCTAACGTAGCCGGTTTTCCTTGTAGAACCGCGTGTATTACTTGGCCCCCGGCACTTCTGTCAGTGGTAACTGGTGCTAATACTTCCGAATCCCGAGAGAAACACAACATTGTTTTATATAAAACATCCTCGAACACGAAATACTGATCGTCATTACGCGCCGTTAGTTGCACATCCTGAAATAAACAAAGTCTAGTAAAAAGTGATTGAAAAAGTAATTAAGAGTCTCTGTTACCTTTATTATCAACTTATCTATAACGATATCGTATTGCAGTACCATATTTTTTAATTCTTCGTAATACTCTTGGTCCTGAAAATATATAAATGATTGTTTCCTATTTTTAAAAACGGTTAAAGAGATTTTTACATTTTCTTTTACTACGGATCCCAACACCAGTGCCCAGAGACGACCACGCAACGCTCGCGGAGCTCCGCGCTTTAAAAATTCTTGTGCGATCGGTGCGTGATTCGATTTCAACACCTTTTCACCGATGTAAATTCTCTCTTCCTCTAAGTTCGGAAAATTCTCTGAACTGGGCATGTCAGGATTTACTCCCAACAATGGCTTTCCACTTGAGAATTCCACATACGTATGCCTCTGTTAAAAGTAAGATGAGTGGTACACCGACTATATTATCGATCTCATATAATTTTTTAAAGATGCAATTAGTTTACCAGTTGTGTGAGTGTCTTTACGCGAATCTGTATATGGCTAAATTCCCAATTTAGTTCGTCCCTAAAAAATGATCATCGCTATTAGCGAATGAGGGAGGAGCAACGTAATATTTGTGAAAAGATATGTACGGTTGTTTCTTGAAAGAAGGGTTTCGAATAGAGAACAGCACGTCCAGAAAATCTTTCGGGGAGTAAAGAGGCCTGTATTGCGAAAGATCTACAAATAAATATCGGATTTATTGGGGCAACATTTTTCATATCTTTATTGATATTTATTAAATCAATATGAAGATCACCAATATCATAAGTGCTCAATTCGTTCCATTTCTCGGCAAGTTCTTCGCGATCTGCACATGGTCTTATACGTGCGAGTGGTACGTTTAACTCGTTGCACGTTGAGTTTAATGATTTCTGTATTCTGCGCTCCCACTGACTCTGAGCCTTTTTTAAGTAACTCAGATCAACTTCTTCCGCCGCTGACACTGATACAGAAGATAAAGAACCCTTAAAAGAACGGGCAATTAAGAGAAACAGTTCTCAGCGGCGAACTGACTATGAAAGCCACCCACTTGCGATCTGACCCAGTGAAACACCGTGTTTCTAATTTCTGTTTCTAGACCATTGCTTTTCAACGCATCCATCAACGTAGTTTTGAAATTCTCTCTTTTCACGGCGGTGGAAGCTACGAGTTTCTAAAATGGTATCAAGATTCTTAGCATTTCCGGTTTCCAAATCGAAGACACACTTTGATTGTACCTGGATTTCGGTGTAGAGGCTTTTGTAATTAGCCATGGTTTGTATCTCCTCCGTCAATTTCTCCGCGGACTTTTTCAGTGAAATTTCTCTCGACTCCTCGGTGTTATCAGCCATGATTTTACTTCGCGAAAATTTCCAATTGATAAGAACGGTTCCAGGACTAAAACCGAATAAAGTCGTTCGCCATTTGTAAATAAATTCATCCCCGGTTATGGACAAGGGTCGAGTTACGTTTCCGTTCGCGCGTAAAGATATTTAAACTCAAACATCTATCGATCTACCTCTTGTCAAATGCTCCAGAGCGTTATAGACGAATATCATTGAGTAAACAAATTTTTTTCAAACGATCATAGCGACTAGTTCGGGAGGAAAAGTAACAAATTCCGTGACTGGAATTCGTTAAAGGAAAATGGTTGTTGGAGGAATCGTCGCAATGTTATTTTCCGTGGTTCTTTCGGCGTTATGGAATCGCTTGAATAGAGGATTTCCGCCGGATAATACATTTTTTTAACGTTCGAAGAATCTTATGGCGAAATTTCAGGCCGGTGTGCTCGCAGGAAAATGGCGGAGCGATAACCTGTTCGTGCTTCGTTTCCGAACGTAACATCGCTCACGTTCAGGAATACATTCGAAATGGATATCTCGAGTATCCTCGAAGTCCAAGTGAAGGAGAAAACGGAGGTGGACAGCAAAGAGAACGGTGAGGTCATGAAACCTCTTGAAACGGTTCCTATGCAACACCATTGTCCGATCCTAATGTTTAACCTACATGCTTCAAATTGCAGTAACTCCAAGGGAACAGTTACCAAGCACGACAAACGCGTCTCTTCCTCCAGAAGACGTTGAATATTACAAGCTGATATTCGGCAATGGTGATACATAATTTTTACTCTGTGTCGATTTCACTTTTCTTGTCATTAACTTTTTGTTATATTTTGTATGTAATCAATTTCGTTTAATTAAGTATGAGAAATCTGTATGTCTTAGATGTGTCAATGGTACGATTTAAAAGGCTGCATTGCACAGCATGTGATGCACACATCGGTTCTGCAGCTGCAAATGTACATAATATGTATGAACATCCTGTACTATTCACATTGTTGTGTGCAAAGTGCAGAGATTTTTATGGGGATGGCATGTTTGAGCAAGGTATGTATCACTGGAACGTGTATAAAAGAGATATAATTGGATTTTTTTTTACAGTTTCTTAATTGTATCTTCCAGGTGATGATGCCACAGACATGTTTTGCAGATGGTGTGCAAACGGTGGTAATTTGTATTGCTGTTCATTTTGTAGTAACACATTTTGCAGCAAATGTATCAGCAGAAACTTTGATCCTCTATACAGGAAGAAAATTGAGGCAGAGGAAAAATGGAAGTGTTTTGTCTGTGACCCTAAAGACTTGTTTAGGGCAAGGGCAACCTGTTGGGCATTGCTTCAACATGTCCAAAAAATGAATAGGCAAGCTTTGTTTACTTAAAATATTAATTGACATACCTCGTACAGCTTGATATTTTCTATTCTTTCAGACTGATCCAAAGTTGTAGCAGTTTGACCGATGAACAAATACACGAGAAATTGAATGTCGACGAAACTACATGCTGCCCACGGATTAGGAAACGCAAACGTCAGAAATACAGTTCCAATTCTGAAGACGAGGATGTAACTTATACACAGAGCCAATTCACATCTAGTAAACGCAGAAGGAGAGGCTCAAGAAGGAAACACTACAATGGTAAAAATTACACCGAGAAGAGTGTCGACACTGTGGAAGATTGTTACGATTCTCCTGAAGTGTTACCATCTTTGTTGTCGTGCGAGCAAACAATGGTTGAATGCGATGACTCTACCGTAAACGTAGACGGTACAATTGTCCCCAACGTGATGCAACCGGTTCATCAACCATCGTTTGCGATTCAACAACAGTCAAGGGTGAACGTTGTCCCGAGCACTAACTTGTTAGCGAATCCTGTTAATTTACTGTCTCGTATGAATTCCATAAATCAGCCAAGGCCGATACGTCCACGTTATATATCCTATAATGCGACAGTTCCTATGGTCACCATACCTAATAAAAATGTGAAGATCCTGAGTAAACCATCGTGCACGGAATCGCAAGTACCGAGTATTACACCGAACGTTATAGAGATTGACAGTGATCCAGAAGTAGTACCGGTCATTGACCTCACTCAATCTATTAATCTTCCTACGAAATCTAACAGCCCTAAGGACGATCAAGTGAAACCTGTCGCGCTTGTGAGCTGGAAAGAGGAGACCAGCGTGTGGCTAGATATAACAGATCAAGTAAAGTCGAAAACATTGAACGAACTATTATCGCCGTACAGCGAACACGCGTGCAACATTTTGGCTACTGTACATAAGAAGTTCCAATGTTTATCCAATACCATTAAGCGAGATGCGCATCGACAGCCTGACTTGAAAAAAGCCGAGTATTTGATCAAGCGTTTTTATCGGGAAATACGCGATGCCGTGATTCAGTTGTCGAATATCAACGATAGAATTGTTCGTGAGCATAGCAAGTGGAGGATGACTCAAACGCCGAAGGAGTGCGAGAAAAAATCATCAAACAAAAATTCGTCGAATGACAATAATGACAGCAACGTTGCCGAATGGAATCAGCTGCCTCTCGAAATGACCTGTACCAACGAATCTGATTCGGACACCGAAGGGCCGTGTAAATTTGTGAATCCATCCGAGCTGATCTATACCACAAATATCCTTGATGGATTAATTAAAATAAAAAACACCGTGAGCCGAGGCGTGGGCAACTATGCCGAGTTTGTTGATAAATCGATGCAAATATTCGACGTGGAATTGTTAGATTACGATAAATGCATAGCTCAGTCGAGTTTACAAAAAGTGCAGTCTCCGACGTACGAAGAACAATTCATTCGATTTCTGCAAGAACGACCTACTGTGCCGTCGCCTGAAAGCACGGAGGAAAATTCTAGGGAGCTACCCGAACCTGACGAGACTACATCAACGGATTTGACAAAGGAGCAGACGAAGTTCACTTCCGAAATGTTAAAAACTAGAGAGCATAATATTTCGGATATCTCTGTTCAAGATGAAAAGGACTTGCAATCGATGCCTGGAACTTCTAGTTCCGGATTAACTGACAATGTGGTAGAAGTAAATGACGATTCAAATAAAAATAGTGCTAGTAGTAATGAAGAGAATGAACAAGTGAAGATTGAAACGGGAGAAAAGTATTTACCCTGTAGTGATAATACTCCTGTGTCAGAAAACGAGAAACATAATTTAAATAGGACTGAGGATATCAGTGAAGACGACTGTATAATTATTAACAATTAATCAATTAAATAATGTATGTAATCGTGTTTTTTTGGTACGAGTAAGTAATTCTCCGAATATTTCTTTCGTTTCGTTGAATCGGTTTGGAGATATACTCACCCGATTAAGATCGATATGTTACAGACAATTTTGGATTATTTATTTTTATATATGTTTTGCAGATTATTATGTTTATTATTTCGTATCGTAAATTGCGCTTTCAATATTTTCAGTTTGCCATCTGTCTGTACTTCTTACCGTGGAAATGTGTAACATCGTTTTTATTGCTTAAAGATGTATTGGCTATACAGTCAATTCCAAAAGTTTATGCACTTTAGAAACGCATTTTTTAAAAAGAAATCAGACGTCGGAAGAACATTGCTAATAATAAACAACAACAAAAAATTTTCGATTTTTCCGAGATTTTTCCAAGGGGTACTCCTTCAGGTTTTGCAAAATTTTCGTTTTTTGCAAATAACTCCCAAACCGTTAGACCTACGGGAAAATTCTATCAGACCTTTCTTGTAGAGGACGACGAGATCTACAATTCCTGTATAAAAGTTTCATGCTAGCATCAATAGTTTACGAGTTATTAACGAAAAACTGTTTTTTCGTTTTTCGTCAATAACTCGTAAACTATTGATGCTAGCGACAAACTTTTATACAGAAATTGTAGATCTCGTCGTCCTCTATAAGAAAGGTCCTATGCAATTTTCTCGTAGAACCAATGGTTTAGGAGTTATTGAAGAAAAACGAAATTTTTTTCCAAAAGTTCGCCGTTTCGACGCTAGAATGGTCGGATTTTGTCAACATCAATAAAATGCTAAATAACCATACTTAACTCGTTAAATACTCAAATTAGAAGAAAAATACATAGAATCTTTCGTGTAGAGCACGTCAATAGCTACAATTTTTGTATATACGTCAATAATTAATTGGATATTTCTTTCTATACTTTTTAGCACGTAGCTATTTATTATTAGCATTATTCTTCCGATGTCTGATTTCTTTTTAATTATAGGAAATGCGTTTTTCTAAGGTACATAAACTTTTGGGATTGACTGTGTAGCCAATACATCCTTAAAATCATCTAGTTTATACAATAAGAATGACTAATAGATTGGTTAGACATTTAACTACGAAACTATCACAAGAATTTTAACGACGTTTCATTTAATTAATGACTTTCATACTTATTTTCTATAGATTCGTTTTCGTGTGTAACGCCGATCTTTATATTTAAAATATGAAAACTGTGCCGAAACTTTTGCTGCATTTATACTGCAATATATCCGTAAACGTATTTGCCTTCGGGTCACTACCGCACCCCTTGATAAAAGCCAGAGGAGCCTAGAATTCATTGTCTTCAGTGAATCTAAAAAATAGATTTTGTACGAAATCTTAAACGGAGAAAATGACCGGTTTATTTTATATTCAAGGATAAATTGAAAAGGACGTGTGTTTTGTATTCAAAGGAAAAAGGAAATTTATTTGATGTTCAAAGAAAAAGATAAGTTAATTAATGTTGAAACTGGAAACGCAGGGAGTTCAGAATTTTGACCCTTTTATTATCGGCTCGTTCAATTTTATTTATTTCTTACTTTGTATACATATCGACTCCGGAAATCAATATATTACTTTCTCTTATCGTTCAGGTAAAGTCTTATATATTCTACATCAAGAGACAAATATTTCTCAGCAGATATACATACAACAGGTTCGTAGAAATTTTTCCCTTTAAAAACATGTCATGAACACGTAACACGCCTACGTGATATCGTAGCCGAGTATACAAAGGATCGGAGCGCAACGAAGTTCCGTAGTTCCTTCTTGCGATTTCAGAGAAATCGCTATACATGTCTATAAAGAATACAAAGATAGTAAGAATGAAAAAGCGTTACAAATATGTTACATTTAGGAGTCATAGCAATCGAATAGCGTGACTACTCGTTTGTAGTATAGGTACAAGTATTCAAAAATTATATACCATTCGTACTTTGACTATTTCCTAAAAATGAAACGAACATGTTTTCTGAAAAATGAGAAAAAGAAATTTCACTTTTTCTATCGGTATCGCGAAATGTATAATTTGTAGAAAACGTTTGAGTACTTTTACGCTATTTGGATACCGATAAATCTAGTGAAAGCTCGCATCGATGTTTCGAAATACACTTGAGCAAATGAATATTACAGAAATTGCCTGTACAAAGGGAAATGAATGACAGTATCGAAGAGTGTATGATCGATCTCGAATGTGGATAAATGCTAAAGGCTGCGCAGTGTAAACGCACTTTTCATACACGTGTGTCGTTCATAACAATGACAATTTTTTTTAACAACAACGACAGTCTAATTCACTAGCACCGTAACGTGGCATTTTAAAGAGTCACTGAACACCCTCTCATTTTCCTCTTTCATGACTTCCTCAATAGCGAAATTGACCTTTTCTCCCCATACCGTTGTGGTACACCCTGAGCGGCGTGTAATTCCCGTTCCCGTTCATCGCTGTACACAAAGAGTGATAAAAGGCGGAGTGATAAAAAATGAACTGTTCTATATGTACGTACATTGTAAGACAACGTATGATAGAAAATAAACGAATTATTATTATCACTCACTTAATTCGTATTCCTTAATAGCAGCTTATATAAAAAATCAATGAAGATTAATCAACGTTCTACGAAATCACGGTGAATTCGCTTACCTTGAACAACGGTGGGTGGTTGTCGCGTGCCTTGTATGGTGTGCGTGTGGCACAGTGGTTTCAATAGGGCATGATACAAGATGAAGTACACTACTGCAACGAACGTGGCCGCGTGGGCCATCCACTGGTAGACGAGTCTCAACGAGTCGACGATATCGGAATCCTCGCCGCCGACATAAGCACCGATTACGGCTCCGATGCATCGACCTGTATTCAAATGAGAAACGTTCAACCTGTGCGAGACATGGCTTGGATATGAGAAATCGTACCAACGCAGAAGTGCGCAATCACAGGCAGTGCTTGAGCTGTCACGGTCAAGTGACGTGGGACGAGGTGTCTGAGATAGAGTATGGCAGTGACCCACATAATGCCCAGTGTGAAGACCTCGAGACCCTCCACGGTCAGGGCCCACCAAGACTCCGACACAAAAGTCAGACCGATAAATCTGAAAACGTCGATCGTCGAACAATCCTGAGATAGGTTCCGTGGCTTAAGCTTAACTACCTAATGATATAAACGGTGAAGGCAGTGATAAGAAGATTACTGTGACCACAGTAGTCCACTAAATGCTCGGACTTCCAAAGGAACAGGAAGCCTGGGATCGCGCTCACGGTCATGGCTACTCCTATAAGAAGCTCATTACCTCCTAGTTTCTGTAAATGTCTAAAGAACAAAGGGAAAACTGAAAAAACATGTTTTCATATAAACAGAACCGAGCGGTCTGAAGCAACATGGCATTCAGCCGACCTTAAAGGTCTGGTTGTTTCATCTCGCGTCGTAACTTTAAACGAGCGGAAGAGCTCTTACAACGGCAGATAGCTGTCCACGACGCTCCAGAAGGTTCCCATGATGATCAGTACTATGACAAGCGCCGCGGTCTCGCTTCCGTATCGCTTGATAGCGCTCATGGGAAGTGCGAGCATGCCGCTTCTGGTGTGCCACCACCATTCCGGCGGGCTGAGGGGCATCCCGTTGGCAGAGAGGGCCACGATCGCTGCCAGGATCATCATCGCGGCGTGCATACCGATCGGAAGATAGTATAAAGAGTTCAAGTTTTCTACGAGAGTGCACAGATAGCCGGTTAACGGACCAAAAATGGCGAAACCAAGGGAGCCGAAGGCCAGCTGCCGGCCCACATCTCCCCGTCCGCAAGAAGTTTCCCTGGTAGCTATAACGACCGCCGCGTCGATAAGAGCTACGGCCGTTGTTGGGAAAATGTCCGCGATCGATCGAATCGCCAAGTACGTCCAGAATACCAAGTGAGACCAATTCTTCGCCTGTTGACACTGGCTCTCGATGAGGACGCTATCCTGAAGAGTGTACGCATCGACCAAGTCGCACTCGATCGAACAGCTCTGGTACACTTCGGCCATACTGGCCTCAAGCCCCGGAGGTATACGACAGGCAAAGTACTCCGCCACGGGATACGCGCACCAGTCCCGATCGCTCTCGTTGTTCAATGCTTGTCCCAGAGTCGCGTTCACAACCAAACTACTTGAATACTGAGTGTAAACGTGACAAACCACGTTGTCGCCTTCTTTGAAGCACAGGTGAGGCGGCTCGCTATCGGGCAACGCGAACCTCCGAGTTTTCTTGGCCTCCTCTGGGTCCTGTAATGCCGCGGTTTATTTACTCGTTTCTTTGAATAGTAAATCGATGAACTTACTTGAATCTGAGCGTATATCTCGCTCTCGAGTGGAATGACCGTCGTTTCACCGCTGCCGTCGAGGTCGGAGTCGATGGTACCGGAAGTGCCGCTCTCCTCGGAATGCCATCGTTTCGAACCGATCGGATAACAAGCGTAGTTGCAACTCTCGAGGAGCAATGGCCCAGGCCTTGTATCGTCGGACCATTTATGACAGGATTTACGATCCTCGCATCGTTCCTGCAGCACGACCGCCCCCGTTTGGTCGCAATTGAATTTTACGTCTGGTCTCCTCTCCCTCGAGGGCTCCACGTGATCCACGGATGGGATAATTAAGAGGAAAGTGTAAAATATCGCGGAGAGGAAACAAGCGATGGCGATCATCACCCTGAGGTAACGGCCGGTCGAAGATTTCTCGCTTCGTCCTTGATGACCGGCCAGCTTGTCCGCGATGGGAGCAGCGAACAAGGGACCCAAGATCGCAGCTGCTGGCGAGATCATCGAGATCATTCGGATTTGTTTGATGCTCAGTCCCACTTCTGTCATGTGCAGTGGAAGAAAAGGGAAGAGGCATCCCATTCCTAGTGAAGATATTATATCATTCGCAAGATGATGGAAATGGAATTGTCAGTTCTTTATATATATGTATATATATTGAAACTATGTATGTATGTATGTATGTATGTATGTACCTCCGAAAAAGAGGAATAATAAAAGCTTCAGAGAAAGAAGATTGGTGTTGATAAATTTCTTCTTCGGCAGATCTTTCGTCGCGTCCATTTTTTCCATAGATGCCGTGGCTGACATTTCGTATATATTATCAAGTCTTTCGTTTCGTTTAATAGCAGGTACAGAGGATTCGAGAGAGATTGGTGGAGATGGGTGGCCGTGTACTACGCCGTGGGTCCTCCTTTACTCTCCATTTCTATTGGTCCACTTTTACTTAATTACCTAAGCAAAATTGAAAATAGATCTCTTGAAATTTTTGCTTAGACTTGAATCGAGTACTAGAAAATATTTCAATTTTATTTCAATTATTGGAGTCATTTAAGATCGTTCCATTCCCTCGAATTCAATATTAGTATTATCAACTGTCTCATATGTGTTCCCCGACTCGCAAATTACCGCGCCGAAGAAGGTACTCGCGACGCGGATCGCACGTGCAATTGAAACCAGGAACGCGATCAAAGGCACCGAGCGGCGTTTGAACCGAGTCCAATCATTCATAACTTATGAGTACAGAACGATTGTCGTCCGTGAAAATCGATCCTTTGGTTCCATCGAGGGAGCTTCCCTTGTTGATAGAGGAAGGCCACCCTAACTCGTATGTCCTGCGTGTCACCGGGAGGGTTCATTATGCGGTTTGTGCGTGTTTGCAGTCTGTACTTGAAACGTTTCAGAAGGGCCCGTGAAAAATAAAATTGTCCCTTACTGTTTGAAGAATAAAACGGGTACCCAAGACTTTTTGCAAATTAAAAACCTGGGAGCGGGATCTTGAAATCGGGAATGTCTCTTTCCTTGATTACCTGAATGATCAAAGATCGATCTTTCTGGTCTGGAAGACAAAACGAAACTTTCTAAAAACGTATTCAATCTCGTGTTGTCATTCTAGTATATTTGTGAAACAACATCCTTCTGATTCTCCAATATTACTTCAGCACGTGAGACACAAAAGTCTATAAATTTATAACACTACTCGTGTGCTTTGCTTGTAGCAAAATTATTAACATCGCACGTTAATTTCATTCCTTTTTTAATCGACTATAAATTGTCGTGGAAAGACTTGACCTACTTGCCCCAGAGCCAGTTCAATTTTCACTATTCGCAAACATCGCGTAATCGCGACTTCCTTATTTTCACGGCGTGCCGCTTTTTACCGGAACCGCCGCCGCGTCGCGAGAAAAAGCTGTCTTTTGATTGCGTGATCGTTCCACCCACGTACATTTCATTTCGCGTCAACCACGAGGAACTAGAGTTCTAAAAACCGACTAACAGGCGCGTTTCCAGTTTCAAAACGCATGGGAACGTATCCGATCCAAAACACCCGGGAATATCCGATGCAACTGCACGTCAATTTGTCAGATCTATAGGGAATACTGTTACAATTTAATTATTCAGATGGATACAAACTGGAATCAGTTTTGATTTCAAGGATTCTGATGCTCATTACTGGCCTACAATTACATACATTTATAGAGAGCACAGAGCGCGTCTGATCCATTAAATAAATTTAAGGGGCTTTACCAGTGTGAAATATAAAAAAAAAATCGAATTTTTTTTGCATTTTTCGAAAGTTTAATTACTACTACTACTAACTCTAATTACTTTAAATGCATTTTTCTCGAAATGGTATTTTTCAAATTTGCTGACACTATATAACTCAAAGACCAATTATCCGATTGACTTGAAATTTTAACAGAGTGTTCTAGACATGCTTTATTGTTGAATGATTTAGGATATTCTTGACTGGGTGAAAACTGTAATTTTAGCAATGAAAAAACGACAATTTTTTTAAGGAAAAGTCAAAAAATTTCTTAAAAACTTCGCCATTTTGTCAGATTTCAACATTTCTCGGATATCCTACATGATACAACGGAAAATTCCTCCTAGTTTAAGAGCGCCTTTGTCTTTTTTCTTTTCAGCCACCCCAGAGAACTGTACGATGTTAGCAGTTGAGGCACATTTTTGTTGGCGTCTCGGGAGATAGCGCATAACTTGGTCGCCTTTAGTTATTTTTGTACGAAAAAATTATTTTACACAGTTCATTTATAGGCAAATACATGCATAAAGTTTAAAAAAATTCCATAGAATACTTTTCTTACAAAAAAAATCTTCAAAAATGACCTAAATTTTAAGCGATCACACGGGTAAGGCTCCCCAATTTTTCAAATGATATCACTAAACTTTCATTCATTACATCGTCAATGGACCTGGGATGCACGGAATATAATTTATTGAACCACAGGAAGGGCTGAATGCTTTCACTGGCGACGTTCAACATTTGCTGAGACATATCGAGATTCGAGCCGAGGCATTTATCATCGTCACGCAGTAACATTCCACACAGTTGCAGATTACGTATGCGCGACGTAATCGTCGGTAAGGAATCAGAAGATGACAGCATAGCTGGTCACCTAGCAAGTTTCACTCGTCCACCTACACTCATTCATAATTAAACGTCCGCCAGTTTCGTCCAATCGTTCGCCTCCCTCACGGATGTTACCAGCGACCGTCTTAATACCCTCGAGAAGGAAACGAGAATTACAGGGATAATTGTACGGCTTCAACGATAATCTGGTTCCCACTGTTCCTCAGTATTTCGAGTACCTACACTTATTCCTGACGTAGTATCAGGCCAGGTTCATTTCGCATAATTTTAATCCAGCTTCCCAAGTAGCTGGCAAATTTATGGCACAATAAATTTCGTGTAATAGAATCCAGTTCCGTAGAGTATGAAAACATTTTTTAATGTTTCGCCTCGTTTCCAGAATATTGATTCGCAACAGATTAGCTGAGTCACCCCGTGAGTGACCCAGAAAAACCGGAATTCAAAGACCGATTGGCATACGCATCGGCTTACGTTAATGGATGCGAACTCCATTGAATTAATATCGGCAATCTCTCACTGCCTTCGTATTAAAACGGACCAATACGCCTTATCAGTAGATATCACGTTTAAACTCTTTAGAGCGACGTAGTAATTACTTGAAATTAATATTACAATGGGTAGTAAAACGATGAACTGCTATTGTTATAAAATTCAGTAGAAAGAAATAATCGTTCCAGGAACCAATAGAGATTTGTTGCGGTACCCTTCGTCATAGTAAGAATATCTCTTTGAATATTTTATTTAAAAAAGAACGGAGGAACTTTATTAGAAAAGAATCGGGCGTCAAATCTTCGACTGGGATGAATAATTTATACATTATCGAGCGGGTCATTAGACAATTCGCCATGCAGACGTGAGTGAATTATTGCTCGAACTGTCGCACAGTTTTATCGGATGGAATTCGCTTTTACGTCCGACAGCTCGATTATTAAGGCTACAGGCTATTTTCTACCCTCTTTCTCCCTTGGCGCATTCAGCCACCATTGTGTTTTTTCGCTAACGAGATTTAAATGATACGAAACGTACAAATGTCGTGTCCTAGACAAATACGTATTAATTAATTATGAATTCAAAGAAGAACGAAGCGATTATTTTGATTGTTGCCCTAATCGGAAAGCTAAGCGAACGCAGTTTGTCGCCGCGGTCGAACCGATCTCCGGATTCAATTCCTCAGACAGGGACGAGTGCGACACTCGTATTTATGGAGTGTTCTCGTCCGTTAGCGATGACAAGAGCGTCTGTCGCGCTTTTCTCCCGTGGACTTCTTCCCCGACTGTGCTCCACTTCGGTTCATTGCGATTCCACGGAGCCGCTTTTCGATTATCTCGCAATCAGGCTTCGAGTATGGAATAAACGCGGCCGGAGCCTGTAACGACGAGTGCGTGCACTGGAATGGCAACCCTAACTGGGTTAACGACAGGTCACGGAAGCCTCGAATGTTTTCGCTCGCTACAAACCGCTTCTCCATCGCTCTATCCCGCGCCGCGGTCGGAAAATGCATCGCGAAATTTGTCGACGTCACAACCAGATAACGAAATGACTTCTCGTTTTGCTCTGATAAAATCATAATTATCCCGTCACAGTATCGACCCTACCTATGCCAAACTATAGAAACCAAAAACTTTCTAATAAGATTTGTACATTATAGTATAAAATAATTTTGTATTTATTATATTTCTTATAGTATAGTATAAAATAGATAAATGAACCGTGCAGCTAGTAACAATGAAACTGAGCCAGTTCGGGCTTGTGTTCTCTAACAAAATTCAAAACGAGTAATAAGTCTACATTTTTCAATGCTTGATCTGGCAACGATACAGTTGGACTTTAACACAATTTTGCCGCGACAAAGACATAAACTTATTACTCGTTTCGAACTTTGTATCAATGTCCAAAAGGTTACATATAATAAAATATATAAAGCGATATTATTTCATTGTCCAGGAACGTTTCTGGTTGTTCTTGCATCTCGAGCAATCTGTAAATTATTGGAGAAGTTTAAATGGGAAATGGGAAAGTTGACTGCAATTAAATATGTGTGTCAGATGCCGCACAATTCTTAAGTAGCTTCCCAGGAATCGCGAACCACGTCACGTAAATTGTTCACACTTCTGGCTCGCGCATCATTCCTTTGCCATTGTAAGTTACGTTCCACCCCCGTCTATTAATAGTCGCGTGCGAACTATGCCTTTCGAGCAGCCGTGATTCGTTCAATGGTTTGGTGGCCCGTGAATGACGGAAGTGACGTTCGTGATTATGCGTGTACAACAAATATAGCGATCGGATGTCGCACTTCGTGCTCACACCTACTACTTCCAGATCGCATACTAAAGTGATCCTCGCCTTCTTAATTATTTCTTATTTGATCTCGATAAAAGAAGTAAAAAGATGAGGTCTTTTTTTAGAAGTACTTAGAAGTCCACGGAGAACGGAAGTGATACCCGTAATTATGATTGTACAACAAATATAGCTATCGCACTTCGTGCTTATTACTTCCAGTTGGCATACCGAAGTAATCGACAGGTTCTTCTCACTTGCTTCTCATTTTGCCTTTTAATATGATACGGGGAGTGATAAAAAGTAAAGAAAGAGATAAGGGATGAGGTTTTCTCAGAAATGTATACGCGGAGGAAGATTTTTGTTTGGTTACGGTGTCTTGGTGTCCTCCGTAGACCAGTTCCTTACATCATCGGGAACAGGTTGTTGATTACGTCAACGTACGCTTCGAGTACCTTGAAATCCACACGTTCGATGCTACCGTAATTAACGAGAGCATTCCCTCGAATACATAAATAGCCTTGTTCTTTTTATTATAGACACGAGTATTAAAATAGACATGACA